TGAAGATCCATAGGAGGCAAAAGGAAATATTAGAACTTACGTTTCTATTTAATTTGAATCTCCCTTACAATCTCTGTTTTTTGTGTTATTTATTTTATTAATTTTTGGCTGTGTCGCACAGCTTGTGGGATCTTAGTTCCCCGACCAGGGATTGAACCTGGGCCCTCGGCAGTGAAAGTGTGGAATCCTAACCACTGGACAGCCAATTCCCTGTGTTATTTTAAAATACATTAATATAGCAGCACTTTTTTTATAATAATAAAATAAAAATTTGTAACTTGAAGGTGCATGCTCATATTCTTTTAACTGATAGGAATATACAAAATTGTATCTAGGGTATTATTTCCAGGGTGTCTGGTTGTATGGTATAAATTAATTTCTCCTGGACACTAGGTTGATTTGACCTAACTTTGAACCTTAATCTCAAAAGGTAAAGGAGGAGTTTGCCAATTTAATGTTGTACCATAGTTCAGTCCTAGGACATTTCAAAAGGATTACTCATGTAATAGTAATAATAGTAATAGTAGTAATAATATCATATTGTATTTTACAAAGCTTTCCAATGCCTCATTGATAATAATATAGAAACAAGCTTAGGCAATAGAATAATCACTGACTCTCAAATGTAATTGCTTCATGTGTATTAATTACAAAAGCATTGATCATAGTATTAACGTTTTTGGTGTACATTTACAAAGGAAAAAGAAAGTTGAGGTTTAGTAGCCCAGAAAAACACTAGCTTTAAAAATTAAATCTGAAATCATGAAAAAAGTTCCAACTTCCCTAGTAATCAGGAATGATTACTGAGTGCAGGTTGACTGGAAATGCAAATCGAAACCTTAAAGTACAATTTCTTGCCCCTCATACTGGCAGAAGTGTTAAAGTCTGATGATTTTCCAGGGTTGGTGAGGATGCTTTGGTGCAAGGGGTGTAAATCGGCACAGCCACTTTGGAGGACAGTTTGGCAACGTTTTCAGAGATAAAAATGCTCATGCCATTCACTGTCTCTGGATCTGCCCTAGGGAGATACTCTTACACAAAGAGGCACATACAAGCATGTTCACTGCAGCTGTTAATGGCAAACAGTTGGAGACAGCCATCATTGGGGGAACATTAAAAAGATAGTGACTTAAAAAAATTAAAATGGAGGGGAGGGATAAATTAGGAGGTTGGGATTAACACATACGCACTACTATATATAAAATAGATAACCAACAAGGACCTACTATATAGCATAGGGAACTATACTCAATATTTTATAATCTGTAAGGGAAAATAATCTGAAAAAAAATATATATATATATATATGTTTACCTGAAACTAACATGACAGCGAAAATCAACTATACTTCAATAAAATTTTTTAAACAGTAAAGTAGAATTTATATAACATAAACTTTATAAATTTAAAGTGTAGAATTCAGTGCTTTTTAGTATATTTACAGGGTTGTGCAACCATCACCACTATCTTAATTCCAGAACATTTTTATCACCTCAAAAAGATACTCTCTGCACATTAGAAGTCACTGCCCATTTTCCCCCTCCCCTTTCCACTGGCAACCACTAACCTACCTCCTGTCTCTAGATTTGTCTGTTCTGGACATTTCATATGAATGGAACCATACGCTCTGGCCTTTTGGGGGTGAGGGTGGGGTGACCGTTTTATTGTGATATAATTCACATACCATGCAAGTTACTCGTTTTAAACGTACAGTTCAGGGTTTTAGTATATTCACAGAGTTGTGCAACCATGACAACAATTTTAGAACATTTCATCACCCCAGAAAGAAGCCCCATACCCTTTAGCTATCATCCCTGAAAATCTCCTCCCCAGCCCCAGGAAACCATTTCTGTCTCTATAGAGACAAAGGCAATCTATAGATTTGCCAATTCTGAATATTTCATATCAGTGGATCATAAAAGATGTCTTTTGTGTCTGGCTTCTTTTACTTAGCATGTTTTCAAGATTCATCCACACATTGCAATATGTGTCAGTACTTCATTCTTTTTTACTGCCGGATAACATTCCATTGTGTGGATATACCACATTTTGTTGATCCATTCATCAGTTGGTGGACATTTGTGTTGTTTCCACCTTTGGCTAATAATGCTGATATGAACATCCACGTACAAGTTTCTGTACGAGCATAGGTTTTCTATTCTCCTTTGTAGAATTGCTGGGTCATATGGTAATTCTGTTTTACTTTTTGAGGAATTGCCAAACGTTTCTACAGAAGTTGTGCCATTTTACTTTTCCACCATTGATGTATTAAGGGTTCCAGTTTCTCTATATCCTTGCCAACACTTATTTTCCATTTAAAAAAAGTTATAGCTGTCCTAGTGGGTATGAACTGGTGTCTCATTGTGGTTTTGATTTCCATTTCCCTAATGACTAATGATGTGGATGGAGCGTCTTTTCTTGTGCTTATTGGCCATTTGTATATCTTCTTTGGAGAAATGTCTATTCAATCTGTGGCATCTTTATGCTGTGCTGTAGAGCTGTTAAAAAGGAATGAGGCAGATCTATATGTAGTCACCCCTGATCATAACACTGAGCAAAATAGCAGGTAGTAGAAACTACCTGCTATAGGACTTCTCTGGCGGTCCCGTGTGCTTCCATTGCAGGGGGCACAGGTTCGATCCCAGGTCTAGGAACTAAGATCCCACGTGCCGGGCAGCCAAAAACAAGAAAAAAAAGGATGCATTATAGTACCATAAGTTTTATATAAATACACATGTGTGCCATGTGTTACATACACACACCTCCTAGTACTGTATGGTAAATATAAATATGTAAGAGCATAGAGAAGGGTCTGGTAGAATAGCCCCCAGACTTATCAAGATGCTTGGTTACCTTGGGGCAGGGAGAGAGAGAACTAGTGGGGGTGGGATTTCATCAAAAGGGACTTTTGTCTTATTTATAACATTTTACAAAGTATTCATGAACTATCTGGTTAATAAAAAATTGTATGAAAACTCCTTAAAATATATACACAGTTTAAAAATATAAGAAAAAGGAAGCAACTGGGGAACTCTAGAGAGGGGTTAGAATCAGTGCTTTCATGCCACATGGAAGTGAATGTACAATTACTGTTCTGAAAATGTCATTGATCATTGATTCCCTTTATAGCTCAGACCTATTTCGTCTTATATCCTTTTTATCAAAACAGTTTTGTTGGGCTTCCCTGGTGGTGCAGTGGTTGAGAGTCCGCCTGCCGATGCAGGGGACACGGGTTCGTGCCCCAGTCCGGGAAGATCCCACATGCCGCGGAGTGGGTAGGCCCGTGAGCCATGGCCGCTGAGCCTGCACGTCCGGAGCCTGTGCTCCGCAACGGGAGAGGCCACAACAGTGAGAGGCCCGTGTACCGCAAAAAAAAAAACAAAAAACAAAAAACCAGTTTTGTTGGGCTTTTACTAATATATAACAATACAAATAGTAGAGAGGTTTATAAAGTTAAAATTAACTGATCCTCTCTTCACCTCAAACCCCTCCTTCCCCATGACAATTAGTGTTAGTGCAGCTTCTTTTCCTAATAAACCTCTGTGTTTTTGTATTTTCTTCTCACCCCACCCAATAAGGTGTGTTTCATAAGCTTTCTGTTGTTGATGGGAAGAAGCTCCTTCCCCTCTAGGGGTAAGGGAAGTCTGTTTTTTTGGCTGCATTGGGTCTTCATTGCTGCATGCGGGCTTTTCTCTTGTTGCAGCAAGCGGGGGCTACTCTTGGTTGCGGTGAGCGGACTTGTCATTGCAGTGGCTTCTCTTGTTGCGGAGCACGGGCTCTAGGCACGTGGGCTTCAGTAGTTGTGGCTTGTGGGCTCTAGAGCACAGGCTCAGTAGTTATGCCACACGGGCTTAGTTGCTCCGTGGCATGTGGGATCTTCCCGGACCAGGGATCGAACCCGTGTCCCCTGCATTGGCAGGCGGATTCTTAACCACTGCGCCACCAGGGAAGTCCAAAAGGGAAGTCTATCTTTAAGCATCTATGATAGTGGTCTTCAGCCTTGCTTTGTATCAGCCCCTACCAGAGATTGCTATTTTGCAGATCCCAAGTTCTGCTCAGGTGTCTTTATTTCATAAAAAGCTCCCATGATGATTCTGATGAGGCCACAGGGTTAAGAATCATTAATCTAGTGAGTAACAGAGCAATCATAAATTGTACCCGTGATGCTTCTTCGAGAATTATTTTTGGTAGGTTCTTTATGAGAGAGTAATGAGCCTGTCAGCTTTGTGGAAACATGCCTGAACTAAGATGGTCTGTTTTGTTCCAGGAATTTCACAGAATTTTCACTTTAGGTTATTTTCAGCATTGGGGCTTTAACTCTAACTAAATACTCTACATAGAGCTACCATCTGAGCCTGAGAAAGTGATCTTGGATTCCTTTTTGAAAACGGTAGGAATAAGTAGTACAGGGCAGACTTAGCTTTCTGCCATTTCAAATCGAAAATGAGTGGATATAGCAAGAATGACAGATGCTTAAATCTTCCATGCCAGGCAAACTATCCCTAGGTCTTGTTTTGTAGTTTTTTCACCCCTCCCCCCACCCCCACCCCCAGATTTTTGTAGACTTTTTTTTTTTTTTTTTTTTTGCAGTACGCGGGCCTGTCACTGTTGTGGCCTCTCCCGTTGTGGAGCACAGGCTCCAGACGCGCAGACTTAGCGGCCATGGCTTACGGGCCCAGCCACTCCGCGGCATGTGGGATCTTCCCAGACCCGGGCACGAACCCGTGTGCCCTGCATTGGCAGGCGGACTCTCAACCAGTGCGCCACCAGGGAAGCCCTAGACTTCTTTATAGTATGTTTGCCTGAGATGCAAGTGAGAAACTCACGTGATTCATAAAACTCCACACTAATTTCCATTCTTAATGTTTTCAGACGTAAAACGCAGAAATTCATAGATGCCATTTAGAGACGTAATAATAATCAGTTTCTTTAGAATAATAAACCTGAGTAATCTTTCTTATATCTTAAATTTCTGTTAAACTTTACATTTTCTCTTCTAGGTATTCTCATGGGAGCAGTTATAAAAATTATAGAGTTTAAAAAATTGGCAAATTGGAAGGTAGGTTTACCCAATTGTTCTTTTTTTTAACATATTTACAATTTTTATTGGTTCTTAAGTTTAGTAACACTGATTATGGTGGCTTTCTTATCATTCCTTGACTGTCAGTGAAGTTTATATTGTCCCATTAATTTTTTAACATTCTGGTAGATTAGGGTTGATATCTTTACATCTGAGTTTTTTGAAAAAGCATAAATCTCACACTGTTTCAAATTAACATAGGAGCATTCAATGCCATGTTTTGTTATTTACTTGCATTTTTATAGTCTTAGACTAACTTGCTGTATACAGGGCTCTAATTAGCATTTAACATTAAACAATGTTTATTGCTCCTAATTCCATTCTGACAGCTGAGCCCAATAAGACATATCTGCCCAGCACTGTAGACCTTACAGAATGCTTTATATACTGTAGCTTTTGTCATCCTCATGACAGCCATGGAGGTAGATTGACCACGTATTATCCCCGTTTTTACAGATGAAGAAAGTGACCTCTGAGAGGTTGGGACATGTCTAACATCACAGAGCTAGAGAGCGGTTGGGTTGGCTCTTGTGTCCAGACCCTCTGGTCCTATGTGTTCTGTATTTTCTCTGCCACTTGTCCTCACTTGTGGATGTTCCCACCCTTACGTTCACACAATGGTCATTAGAGCGTGAGGTCCAAGGACTAATTGAAACTCAAGTTTCAGCTTAAACTTTGAGCATCTGTATCGAGTAGGGAGTTTAACAAGTGTGTAACAAAACTGATTTTGTGGAGGGAAATAAGGTCCATTTCAAAATATTAAAAGAATTGTATGGTTAAAATGTGTCACATTTGAGCCCTTCCTACTTGGACGCAGCTCCTAGGTGTGAGGATTAATTTATCCGTGGAACTGTAGAGTATAAATTTGCAAAAAAGGGCTTCCCTGGTGGCGCAGTGGTTAAGAATCCGCCTGCCAGTGCAGGGGACACGGGTTCGATCCCTGGGCCGGGAAGATCCCACATGCCGGGGAGCAACTAAGCCCGTGCGCCACAACTACTGAGCCTATGCTCTAGGGCCTGCGAGCCACAATTACTGAAGCCTGTGCACCTAGAGCCTGTGCTCCGCAACAAGAGAAGCCCACCACAATGAGAAGCCCGCGCACCGCAACGAAGAGTAGCCCCTGCTCACCACAACTAGAGAAAGCCCAAAGCCCACACACGGCAACGAAGACCCAATGCAGCCAAACATAAAGAAATAAGTAAATTAAAAAAAAAAAAAATTTGCAAAACAAGCCTCATGGTCTGACGTAAAACACAATTTGAAGCTGTTATAAATAATATTCAGGATATATTTTATTAAATGAATTCTCAAAATGTACATTGAGCTTGGAATATTTCTAGAGCTACCCTCAGCTGGGGAAGGAGCTAGGCAGGCCCCACTGGAGCATGCTGTATATGAAGCTCAACTGGTTCAGTTTAACCCCCCTCACAGTAGCTTCTGCAACTGGTTCAGTTTAACCCCCCTCACAGTGGCTCATTCTAGGGCAGGAGCAACTGACTGTACACTCTTTCTCAACTCTTAGACTAGATAGAGCCTGATGTGTAAATACCACCTGCTAACACATTTTGTTTGATTTAAAATCAATTGATCAAAATTGGAATCGATTTTAAAGCAATTAAAAAATCATTAAGTTTTTTGTTTTGTTTTATTTTGTTTTTCATGGAGGAGAAAGAAAGAGTGGCTTTATTTCTTTGCCAGGCAAAGGGGGAACACAGTAGGTTAGTGCCTCAAGAACTGTGCCCCCAGTTTTATTTTAAATGTTATTAATCTATACAAAATTCTAGAAATTTCACATGGATTTTTAAAAAATATTTTAAACTGCTTAATTTGTAATCTTTTTAAAAAATTAATTAAAGTATTTATTTTTGGCTGCATTGGGTCTTCGTTGCTGTGCGCGGGCTTTCTCTAGTTGCAGTGAGTGGGGGCTACTCTTCAATGTCATGAGCAGGCTTCTCTTGTTGTGGAGCACGGGCTCTAGTCACGCAGGCTTCAGTAGTTATGGCATGCGGGCTCAGTAGTTGTGGCTCACGGGCTTAGTTGCCCCAAGGCATGTGGGATCTTCCCGGACCAGGGCTCAAGCCTGTGTCCCCTGCATTGGCAGGCGGATTCTTAACCACTGCGCCACCAGGGAAGTCCTCACATAAAAATTTGAACTTCTAGCTTCTCTCAAAGCAGCAGAAGCTCTCTCAACACCAGGCCCACATTCCCCACAGCAGAGATCCAAGGCACTGAGTGCAGCTGCAGCCCTGGGGAATGCTGCATGATCCCTTCTCCGAGCAGGAGGAGGAAAGGTTATCTTTTACTTTTAGTTTTATATGCTTCGGTATTATTAAATTTATTTTTCAACAGATGTTAGTTTTCAAGTTAAATAATAATAATATATTGAATAGTATAGATGAGTGAACCAGAGTTGGGTGGTGAATGTAATTAAGTGCCCTGAAGAGCCATGTAGACAACCAGTGCTTGACCTCAGAAACGGGTGAGGTTTTTAGGCTAAAACCATTGGGCAGGCTTTCTGGAGGAGCAGGTGTTTGTGGAAGCCAAAGCAGGAAGTAGGATCTGTTTGGAAACTGGGTGCTGCAGGGAACAGGGGAGGTAAGAAAAACAGTGAAGTTGCTGGATGTTTTCTTTCCAGAATGTCCTGCTGGGCCTGCCTTCTACCTATTTTGTCATATGCTTAATATGTTTCTTTAAGTCAACTTGCTTTTTTATGTATATAAGTCTTTATACCAGTTTTTTAAAAGCTTTTATTGTGGTAAAATATACGTAACATAAAATTTAGCATTTTAGCCATTTTTAAGTGTACAATTCAGTGGCATTAAATACATTTACAATGTTGTTTAATCATCACATCTATTTCCAGAATTTTTTCATCATCCCAGACGGAAACTCTACCCATTAAACAATTCCCTATTCCTCTCTCCTTACTTTGTTTTCTACTTTCTATTTTTCTTAGTATTTTCTATTTTTTTAGTAGCCCCTATTCTACTTTCTGTGTTTATGAATTTACCTATTCTAGGTACCTCAAATGGGTGGAATCATATAATATTTGTCCTTTTTTATCTGGCTTATTTTATCAATACTTAGCATGATGTGTTTTTTCTGTTTTGTTTTGTTTTTGCGGTACGTGGGCCTCTCACTGGTGTGGCCTCTCCCGCTGTGGAGCACAGGCTCTGGACGCACAGGCTCAGCGGCCATGGCTCAGGGGCCTAGCTGCTCTGCGGCATGTGGGATCTTCCCGGACCAGGGCACGAACCCATGTCCCCTGCATCGGCAGGTGGACTCTCAACCACTGCGCCACCAGGGAAGCCCTAGCATGATGTTTTTAAGGTTCATCCACTTTGTAGCCTGTGTTATAACTTGTTTCCTTTTTATGGCTGAATAATATTCCATGGTCAGTATATACGACACTTTGTTTATCCATTCATCTGTTGATGGGCCCTGGGGTTGTTTCCACCTTTTGACTGTCGTGAATAATGCTGCTATGAACGTTGGTGTACTATATACATTTATTTTAAAGGAAACATTATAATACTGTTTTAAGTGGGAAACCAATATTGTTTTTATAAATAAATACGATAAAAACAAAGTGGTACATTTGCTTGCTGAAGCCTCTGAGGACAAGCCTGTCCTCTGTCAAAAAGGGGGATCAGCATATTGGAGAGAGGCTTAACACGGTAGCACCAAACTGACGCGTCTGACTTAATTGGGATTGAGAAAGAATCAAAAAGGGCTGACTTTCTCAATCCGTGGGGTCAGTGGTATTCGACACACATTGCTCAAGTACCACCTAAAACCACATCAGATCACTTTAGGGGAGATACTGCCCAAAGGAACCTGGGATCTTTCTGTAACACTATTTACTGTAAGGTGGTGTGTGCATTTCCTGTGGCTTCTGTAACGAATTACCACAAATTGGGTGGCTTAAAACAGCAGAGATTTGTTCTCTCATAGTTCTAGAGGCCAGAAGTCTGAAATGAAGGTGTTGGCAGGGCCACACTCCCTCAAGGGAGTGAATCCAGTCCCTAGGGGAGAGTCCTTCGCTGCCTCTTCCGGCTTCAGGTGGTCCCAGGCATTCCTTGGTGATGGCAGCCTAACTCCTGTCTCTGCTTCAGTCTGTCCTCATGTGCCTTCACCTCTGTGTCTGTGTGTCCCTTTCTGTCTCTTTTAAGGACACTGTCATTGGGTTTAGGGCCCACCCTAATCCAGTATGATCTCAGCTGTGATTCTTCCCTTAATTCCATCTGCAAAGTCCCTATTTTCAAATCAGGTCGCATTTTGAGGTTCCAGGTCACATGAATTGGGAGGAGAGGACACTGTGAACCCACTGCAGGTGGGTTCTCCTTTTTCCCAGGGGGTGTTTTGTTTCTGAAACTCCCAGAGTCTCTGCAGTGGCCAAACTGCACAGATCCTGCGAATATCTTGCCCCACAAAGCACAGAGATCGGCCCATTTCTTTTCACATGGCCCCAGTCTGAGTCATGAGCTTGTGATACAGGCGGTTATTTTAAGACTTAATAAGGCATTTTCAGAAGTCATCATTTGCTTCTATTTTGAGCCTTTTTTGAATGTTATTTAGTCTTTATGGTAACAGCCGTACATTTGTAAGGATACATTTATCATTCTTTTGAATAGGGATTTTGACAAGAAGTCAGACTGTCAAGATTGTGACATAGAAGTTTTCATATGAAAAGGGCCTGATTTTGCAGTATTAAATAGACTGCGTATTACCTGTAGTCATTTTGGGTTTGAGAACCAGTATGTATTTTCCCCCAATCCACCAACAACTAGAGAACTGTATTACTATAGAAGATGAAATTATTATTCCCTTCCCCCCAAAGGTGGCCATATTCTAAAAATACCTTTCATAATGGTACTTAATATTTGAATCTGAAAGCATGGCAAGGGGCTCGCTTTATAGCCATGTCCCAGGTTGCAAGGGCATCAGGTGAGGACTGTTTCATCACATCAGATTTAGGAAAATGACATAGTTGTCTATGACATGCAGAGAAAAGGCAGGGCTATTTTAAACATGAGTAGGGTTTACTCTTCCTCTAAGTGGATTGTTTTAGGGCTTACCGTTAACCTTTTTCCTGGAGGAATCCAATTTGTGGACTTGTTTTTGAAAGTGTTCTATTTGAATTGAAATGTTTTCTATATTAAAATGAGTTTTCTTTCCTTAGTAAAGAATAAAAAGCGTACCGCTGTATGTTTGGAAGTGGTTCATCCTGCTATTTATTTTGCTGGTCACCTTTCAAAATCATTTGTCCTACATTTTTAAATGCACGTTTTGAGGTTTTGTATATTTGTTTGTTTTTGTCTCTCCTTTTGCTTGGTTTTACTATCAGGTGATGGTTTAAGCACTGTGGTTTCCACTGGGCCAGGCTCTAAGAGAACAGTTACTTTGGCTTTTCATTGATGGGTTTATTTCTTAATTACACAGATTTCATGCCTCTGAAAATATCCATTTTATATTTACAGGAGGAAGAAATGTTTCGTCCAAATATGTTTTTCCTCCTTTTGCTTCCACCTATTATATTTGAGTCAGGATATTCATTACACAAGGTAAGACTCAGGCACACATTAGTGCTTTTGGTCCGGGTGGCTCCGTGTGTTTGTAAGTCAAGTTCCTTAAAAGCTCAGGTGTTAATTTAGCAGTGGTGGCTCTGTGTGAACACCCTGGCGTGTGTGGTAGAAGCTAGACTGTCATGCCTGACTTGTAGAGGGAGCAAACATGGTCAGTGGGCTGCTTTCATGGTTTTAGGCAGTGTGGCTTGCTAGTGTTTTCCATAGAGGGGTACTTTGCCTAGAAAGAAATAGCCAAAGTGATTTTGATGGTACACAGGTGTTACATTGACTCCTCTTGGACACAGACTGACCCACGTTAAGAGGACAGACTGTGTCCTGGGATGACAGGGGCAGGTGCCCCAGGCCTACTGGTTCTCTCACGTCACCATATCGGGCCTTTCTCCTGCCTTGGGCCCATCCATCCTTCAGTGTCTCCCCTCTCAGGGCACTGCCCTGGGCCTCAGCTCCCAGCCATTATGCCCTTTAAGCCCCAGTCTCCATTCCTTCCCACCCTCTCCCTGGCCCTGCTTTTCCTCACCAGACTGGAGCCCCATCCTTCCCGCTAGTCTTCCACCTCCTTCTGGCCCAGCCACCTACTCCCACAGTTGCTCCGCTCATTCTTGGCTCCCTGACCCTGGAGAGCAGCATCACTGGCCCCTGCTCAGTTCTCTGCTTTGCTCTGGCATTTCTGGTCTCTGTCTTCCAGCTTCCAGTGGGGCTCTTTCTGCCTGGGCAGGAGCTTCTCACTTTTAAGCCAGTTTGTGTGTGTACCTGAGTCTTTTCCTTGTCTATGAGTTCCTTTTTTTTTTAAATTTGTATAGCAAACTTGTTTTTTTTTTAATACATTTATTTATTTATTTATTTATTTATGGCTGCATTGGGTCTTTGTTGCTGCCTGTGGGCTTTCTCTAGTTGCAGCGAGTGGGGCTACTCTTCATTGCGGTGCGCCGGCTTCTCATTGTGGTGGCTTCTCTTGTTGCGGAGCGTGGGCTCTAGGTGTGTGAGCTTCAGTAGTTGTGGCATGCGGGCTCAGTAGTTGTGGCTCACGGGCTCTAGAGCGCAGGCTCAGTAGTTGTAGCGCACAGGCTTAGTTGTTCCGTGGCATGTGGGATCTTCCTGGACCAGGGCTCGAACCCGTGTCCCCTGCATTGGCAGGCGGATTCTAAACCACTGCGTCACTAGGGAAGTCCGTATGAGTTCTTTTTAAATATAAGTGTATTTAAGTTTTAAAATAAAAAGGTGATTCAACTTAAAATACTAGTAATACAACAGTTATTTTGTAAATATGATTTAAAAAAACTGTGAAGGTTGGAAAGACTAAGGATAGGCATATCTTTGGAGAGAGGAAAGAGCCTGGACTTTAGAGCCAGAGAGACCTAGGCCTAATCATGCGCTTCCCCCTATAGGTTCCTTTTGAGTAGAGTAGAAATTAAAAACAGAGGACAAAAAGATCCCCAAAACCCTACCTCCTAGGTTGCTTTGAGATTTACATTAGATGAAAGAATGTATGCAAAGCACCACTCACCACATTAGATAATTGGTAGTGCTTCTTGTTATTATCTATTATAACATGACTAGTGTTATTATTAATAATAATGTAATAAACTTGAGTTAAATTTGTTATGAGAGTTTTGGTAAAAACACACAAATTAAATTTTTAATTTTCCTCCTGGATATTAAAGCAAAATTATTCTAAGATGTTCAGGCCAGATTTTTTTTAAGTTATTATTTTATTGTGCATTAATCAAAATAAAAAGTGAAAAGGAAGTTTAATATTAAAAAAATCCCATATCTTATAAACCATTACTGACATCAGATAATTGTCAAAAAGAAAATAAGCAAGAAGGATTGAAGGTCAGTATCTCTCACTCTTTAATTTTGTGAACAAATCTTGAAAGAACTGAGCAGATTATGAAAATATTTCAAAACAGTGCTGAAGAAAATGGGTTGATTTTTTTTTTTTCCCTTTGGCTGCCACTCGGCATGTGGGATCTTAGTTCCTCAACCAGGGATTGAACCTGGGCCCTCGGCAGTGAGAGCAAGCGTCCTAACCACTGGACTGCCAGGGAACTCCCGAAAAATGATTCGATTTTGACTTAAAAACATAAGACTGGTTATTATATTAGCACATGTAAAGTTTTTATTTTCTAATTTTTTGGAGGGAGGGGAAATAAACTTATTCAAAATTTGAGGAAAATAGTAGTTTCTTAAGAGAAGAAATTTTTGAAGATGGCTTTACAGCAGAAACTGTGACAATTTATGTGAAAGGGACTAGTGTGAGTTGGAATGGGAATTCAGAGACTTCTGTCCACTGCCTGCCCACCCCCAAAGAAGATAGGAAGTTGACTTTATTTTAATATTGCTATATTTGCTGATGTAAATTTGGACTTAGAATAAAAATTTCAGTACAATTATCATCAGTTGGTATGTATTAGGTAGGCAGCTATTTGGTTCTTTAAATTATTAATATAAAGAATAGAACTTTTTAAAAAATAAATGTATTTATTTATTTACTTTTGGCTGCATTGGGTCTTCGTTGCTGCACGCGGGCTTTCTCTAGTTGGGGCGAGCGGGGGCTACTCTTCTTTGAAGTGCACGGGCTCCTCATTGCGGTGGCTTCTCTTGTTGCGGAGCACGGGCTCTAGGCACGTGGGCCTCAGTAGCTGTGGCTCACGGGCTCTAGAGTGCAGGCTCAGTAATTGTGGTGCACAGGCTTAGTTGCTCCGCGGCATGTGGGATCTTCCTGGACCAGGGCTCGAACCCATGTTTCCTGTATTGGCAGGCGGATTCTTAACCGCTGCACCACCAGGGAAGCCCAAGAATAGAACATTTTTTTAATTATGTCTGAGAGAAGCAAATAAATTTGCTTTATGTAGCAAAGGGAAGTTCTTATAGTGGGGCAACTTGAATTTGGGTAACTTTCCAACATCCAGATTAATATTAGCCAACGACGTAAGTTATATCAGAATTAGATCCCTATAAACAGACCAAGGCTTAGTGTAATCTATTTTTAAATCACAAAATTAAGCAGCTCTCTGCAAAGAAAAACTCATAGATGAAAGCCTTTTGTTTAGGAAAAAACCAAATCATTGTGTTTGCCTTGAGCTATTTTAAAGTTCTTTGTGTGCTAAAGATTGATATGCCAAACAAAGTAATTGAATGTCTGATTATGGTCAGCCAAATCAAAATTGCAAAATATGAAGCAAAGAAACTTCCTGAAGGAGATAGGCTTAGTGGGTTGTCAGTGCTGAGCTGAGGACAGTCTTCTGAAGTGAGCTTTAAAGTATCAGTTCCTGGGAATTCCCTCGTGGTCCAGTGGTTAGGACTCAGCACTTTCACTGCCGAGCGCCCGGGTTTCAATCCCTGATCAGGGAACTAAGATCCCACAAGCTGCATGACGTGGCCAAAAAAAAAAAGTATCAGTTCCTGTTGTCCATGGCTTGACAATTTCTGAGCGAAAAAATGGTTTTCCTTGTCCAGACCCACAATCACGGACCATCAAGTTACCCTGGCCTTATTCCTAAACAGAGTCCACAGGATTCTAATAAATAGCTTAATTTTTTAAATTTTATGGAAATTTGAAAGATGTTACCATACTGCTTGGACTCAAATATTTTCTCTTAAATGCTGTATAGATGGGAATATATTTTATCTATTATATTTGATGATACTAATAGAGTGAAATAAAATTGCTTAAAAGATGTGGACTACAAAAAGGAGCTTCTGATAGTATAATCTATTATCTTGACATTCTTTGTAGCAATGTACCTTTTCTTAATTAATTGAAAAATTATAATTATATAAACTTTGGACTTTAATCAGACATGAAACACAGTTAATTCCTTTAGTACCTATTCATGGGGCATCTTGCATCTGACAGGCTGTATGCCAGTGACTGTTGTACAAAAGCAGATGTGGTCATTGCCCCCATTGAGCCTGCAACCTAGTGGGAAAGACAGATACCAAATAATTACATAAATAAATGTAACGTTTCAGCTATGTCAAGTGCTACCAGGAGAGAGTCACTGTGCATTGAGAGCATAGACTGGGATCTGACTTGGGTAAGGGATCAGAGAAGGCTTCCCTCAGGAAGAGTCAAAATGTCCTGAGATCTTGGGACGATTAAAGTTCACTAAGCGAAGGGGAAGGAAGAGTGGTCCAAGCCCAGGGAGCATGATGTTTGAAAAACAAAAAGCTACTAGTGTGACTGGAACCCAGAGAACAAAGGGGAGGTTAGAGGCCTTCGAGGGGTCAAACCGTCCAGGCTTTGGTTGGGTTTTAGCTGCGTTTTGAGTGGAAGTGGGGATCAGAATGTAGGCAGCACAGTCAGACTTATCTTTTGCAGAGATCATTCTGGAAGCACTTGGAGAGCAAGAGGGCAAGGGCCAGGGCTGGTTGAGACTTGTTAGAGGCTATTGCAGTGATCCAGGGGAGAGATGATGGCAGTTGGGCAAGGGCGGTGGGGATGGGGATGGAGAGAAGCAGGGAGATGTGAGTGACGTGGGGAACGCAAAAGCCACAGGACTTGGCTCTGCATTGCATGTGGGGGTGAGGGAAGATGCCCAGGTTTCTAGAGCTTGCCAACCAAGGTGGGTGATGGTGCCCTTTAAAGAGAATCAAGCATGTGAGGAGGGCCAGCTGTGGGGTCCATGACTTCACTGAGCAGACCAGCCTTTCTAATCATTCCTCTCATTTCTGTTCTCTCAAACAGGGTAACTTCTTTCAAAATATTGGTTCCATCACCCTATTTGCTGTTTTTGGTACGGCAATTTCCGCTTTTGTAGTAGGTGGAGGAATTTACTTTCTGGGTCAGGTAAGGAAAACATCTTTGAAAAACTTTGAAAACCTTACATTCTTAGAGCTCATGCAGGGAAGTGGGGTAGTGACATCTCATGGGGGTTTTACAGTCAAGGTAAATGCTCTCCTGCAAAGAAATCTGGACTCAAACAAGGCACAGTAAAGGCATGCTGAAGTTGTCTCTCAGTGTCCTCGAGAAGCTTTGGTGTCTGGAATTGAGTGAATCTTTTCCATAATCCCCAGAAGTATTTGATATTATTTGCAAACCAATATTGTCTTAAGTTGGAATACCTAAAAATAAAGCAGAATATATACCATCAAGATCTTCAAATTATAACAGTATCAATTCTGTTGTCAGACTGAATCAAGGTTAAACACTGTTTCTTTAATAAAAATTTGCATTTTAAAAATCAAAGATGATTCTGTATGTCTTCACTCAATTCTAAGCTGTCCTGTAGAATTATTTTCCCTGGATTTTCCACCATTGCTAAACCAATTCCCGGTGTCATCAACTGAGTGTTTTGTACTTTGAATTCAAATTAATTTGAATTAATTTAAACCACACCTACCTAGGAAGGTAGTATCTGTAGCTTTGCATTATGCACGTCTGTGCATGTCACAGTTCTCTTCCAGTATGGTCAGTTGCAGAAAGTTTCTCCGTCCTAGTTCTGCAAACGCAGTTTGAGATTCAGGCCTTGGGGTAACTGGCAGATTTCTCTTACATGTGTCAGATGTGTCTGCTGCTTTTGATGGCTATCGGTAAAAGCCCATTCCATCTGATTTTCACCTTTACTGCTGCCTCGATGGCAACAGAATAAATCTGTCTGTCATTCAACCTTCTTCATTGCTCAGCTTCCAGCATCAAATGGGAATAAACTTTAGAGAAGAAAACTAGTTAATTTGGCTGCAAATATTAGTGTTCATTTTCATACCTCCTGTGTATGATGATTGAATGCATGCCTAAACTAAAACTTAGGAGTTTTCTGTATTTTTCAAGTGATTTGGGGACTGAAGGTTAATGTCCTCATTAGTTTGTAATAAAGCACTAATGGACATTTTAATCTTCTTGGCTGTTCTCCAGGGGTTTTTTTTTTGTGTCTGTGTGTTTGTGTTTTTTATTTTACAGGCTGATGTAATCTCTAAACTCAACATGACAGACAGGTAAACCTTTCATACTGTAACACCCATGTGGCTACTTTTCAGACTGGGGCCAAGTTTTCTCCACATTGATTCCTGGCTGTGGTACTTCTCTATTCTGTCTTTTTGTTTTGCCGACTATTTCTGCTGTAGAATCTATTCTGAGTTAATTTGTGTCTCTGAAATGAATCAAAACTATATTGAGGAATGTTGAAGATCTCCAGTCAGAGGGTTGCTGATGGAAATGATTTAGTTTCAGCTTTGAAGGGAATAACTCTTGGTTAGTTAGGTTAACTGCCACCTCACACACGCCACACGCTGCACCATTGTCCTTTTATTATTAAGATTCATCTTCAGCTCATGTCTAAGGCTTTGCAACGGCCATAATGAAAAGTTGTCTTCTTGAGAGATTGGGGATGGAGTCGGGGGTGAGGTGTGAATCTTTACTCTGGGATTCCCCTCAAGGCGGTGGGGATGGGGAGGGGGAAGGAGGTGCTCTGTTGTGGGCGCCCTTCTCAGGCTGCAGCTACTCCATCGGGTACTCAGAGCTGCTGTCTAGGAGCCCAATCCAGAAATTTCCATAATTGGCTTAGCAAGAAGCAACCTAGGAAGCCGAAGTTACCAGATCTAGTGCTAAAAAAGTGCACACACACAGCGTGACCTGGTTTCCCGTCTCTGAGAAGTGCAGTGAATATGCAGCCTTGCTCTGTGTTTCTCTCCCGGGAGCACTGGATTCTGTCTTGTGCTTGGCTGGGGAGCTCGGAAGTGGGACCCAGTGCTCAGCCCCGGGGTCCCTTTCACTGGGCCAGCCAGAGCTTACAGCCTTCAGCAGCAACTTGGAGATTAGAATCTTGGAGCCCTTTTCGTGAGAAATGTGCCTTTGATAGCATCAAGTCCAACCTCATTTTCTCTCCAGGGACATAAATTTCAAAGCCTTTGTTGTTAAGATAGTCTTGCTATACAAACAAGTAGCGAAAGTCACATCCCTGTTCCATAGGGAGCGTGAAGCCGAGCACAACTGTTGCCCTGCATTTTGTAGGTATTTTGCAACTGAAAAGAAGTGTTCAAAACCCAGTGGATGTAAAGGAAGATGTCACAGCATTCAGTCCTTCAACCTGTTTGGGGGCAACTGCTTAGAGATACAAAAAACACTTGATAAATCCTTGTGAAGTTGAATTGAACCGGAGGTTGGGATGTTCAGGAAGAGAGGAATAAAAGAATTGGCCCTTAGACAGGCAGAGTAAGAACCAGGTGGAGTTTCTCTCTGTGTGGGCACACACTTCCTTTCCTGTTAGAAAGTGACTGTCCCACAGATGGGGGGTGCTCTGGGGGAAATTAGCCAGCAGTCGCAAACCCACACAGCTGCAGGGCCTGGCAGAACCCTTCACAGAGGGGAGCTGGCCAGGTGTGTGTCTGGAGGTGGTGACAGTGGTGAGCCGGAGAGCCCATCGTCTGAAGGGGACAGCCACCTCTTAGCTCCACCTGCTAATTACCACGTGGGAACATGGGCCCAGAATTGCCAGATACTTAATTGTTTTTTTTCCAAAAGAGGCCAAGTTTCTGGATTTTAATAGGGAATTTTCCTGTTTTAAATGTTGCCAACTTGATCCATTTTTCAGAACACCATGCAGGTCAAACATGAGGCCCATGGACCTCTGCACGGTAGGAAACATAAAAATAACTTTTTTGAACAGAAGGTTTTACTTCACTGGTGTTTCCTCTGGAGAGCTAATTCACTCATAGATGCACCCTAAATTATTTCACCATCCCAGTCCATTTTCTTTTTTTTTTTTAATTTTTAAATTTTATTTATTTTTGGCTGCGTTGGGTCTTCGTTGCTGCACACAGGCTTTCTCTAGTTGCGGCGAGTGGGGCTTCTCATTGTGGTGGCTTCTCTTGTTGCAGAGCACGGGCTCCAGGTGTGCGGGCTTCAGTAGTTGTGGCACGCAGGCTCAGTAGTTGTGGCTCATGGGCTCTAGGGCGCAGGCTCAGTAGTTGTGGTGCAGGGGCTTAGTTGCTCCACGGCGTGTGGGATCTTCCCAGATCAGGGCTCAAACCTGTGTCCCCTGCACTGGCAGGCAGATTCTTAACCACTGTGCCACCAGGGAAGTCCCCCAGTCCATTTTCTTTTTGTTTTGTTGGCGTTGCTGTCTTTTGAGATGATGGAATAAAGAAAACACATTGTTCAGTTGAACTTCTGGCTTCTGGCCTTTTAAAAGACTGGGTCATAAGCTGTGACGTGGAACAGCTGCGGGCAAGATTCAATGCCTGCTTATATTCAGACCTCTCCATGATTCAGGCAGTTCATATTTCCGACTTTCCATGTTCACTGTCAGAAACACTGTGCCCCAATTTAGAGTCTCAGCCAAAGCTAAATGTGTTACATAATTTATGCAAAGCACTTCTCCCCCAACATTTTATTATGGAAATTTCAAACACACAGAAAAGGTGAAGCACTGTACAGTGGACACGCACATGACCGCCTAGATTCTACAGTCACTGTTTTCACTGGATTTGCTTTAACCACAGATCTTTCCATCTCTCCATCTCTCTGTCCATTCATCAATCCGTCTTCTAGTTCCTGCTATTTGGTTTTCAGTTCAGGATGCCACAGGAACTATGACAAAGAACATCAGTCAGGCCTCTTTCAGTGCAACTGAAACCCAACACGAACTCGTTTTAGCAAAAAAGAAGTTTGTTGACTCGTAGAACAGAAGTGTCCCCAGAGTGATGGCTTCCTGCATGACAGCCTCTGGGGGTCTGTGATGTCAGGAACCTCTCCTCTCTCTGTCTTAGCTGTTCCCTGGTCGACGTCATCCTCAGGTGCGCTCACCCCATGTGGCAGCACCAGTGGCTTTCGTCTCACGATCACCCTCGCCGTCCCCACCAAAAGGGCCAACCTAATATCTGGTGACCTGGTAAAATGCCTGGCGATGGACCTCTGACCAGGCTTGGGTCCCCTGCTTACTCCTAGAGCCCCACGCAGTACAGGGATGGAGAGTGGAGGAGGCCTGGCTCCACAAAGGGAAATTGGAGCCCAGTGGGGCTGTGGGTGCTGTCCACTGTGCGCTTGCTGAGGGATGGAGGGAGGGGCCCGCGAGCCGCACGGAGTCGTTGCCCAGCACACAACCTGCGGCACACTCCCAGGCTCCCCCCCCCCCCGCCGCTTTGGGATGCACTTTTTTTTTTTACTTATTTAGGCCTCGCCGCACAGCTTGCAGGATCTCAGTTCCCTGACCAGGGATCGAACCAAGGCCTTGGCAGTGAAAGAGCAGAGTCCTAATCAATGGACCACCAGGGAAGTCCCCAAGATGTACTTTTTAGACGTTCTTCTTCCTTCAAGGCCTCTGTTATGTCGCTGTGGGTGATGAGAGTGGGAATAAAAGAAGGAGAGGGGAGAGAAGAATCTCTGTGGGTTGCAGAGCAAGGGCCTCAAGGCCAGCTGCCAACAGATCATGGCCTCCCGGGTTGGCAGCTGTTCGGTGGAGTTACCTTTTCTTCCCTCCCGGATCTCTCCCTCCTGCCTGCCTTCCCCAAATATCTCTGGGCGCTCACAGTGAGGTGAGAGGCAGGTGAAGTCACAGCTCATAATGCACGCCACAAGCTCTGTGAGGACAGGGCAAGTCTGGGAACTGAAGTCTGAGCTGAGGCCATCTTTGAAGTGAGCAGGCTCTCCTGCATGAATTCACATTAACCGAACTCGGGGCGCCACCACGGAAACCGGTACGCCAGATTATCGGTTTATGAAGAGAACTGTGTGGGGCAGGGCAGCCACACGTCCCTTCCCACCAGCACTCCTCTCCCTGAGCCCGGAGCCAGATGATCATGCTGGTGACATACGGTGGACAGAGCACGCTCCAGTCCCCAGGCCAGGTAGTTCCTCATCCCTCCCAGACCGCAAGCTTGGTGCAGGCAGGAAACAGGTGGATGGGCTCTGGCTCACGTCTCTACCCAAGGCTGTCCCCTCGTGGCTCCTTGTGTTGCGGAAGGGGGCAGACCTAACCATTCTGCTGAGCTGGAAGGAAAGCAGTGCCAGGCGAGGACTTTTGAGGGAAGCGACAAGGGCTTGCAAGAACTCTAAGGGGAAGAAGACAAATGGGCTGCGAGAATAATCGTCCTGACTCCTCAGGCGGCCCCCAAGGCCCCGCGGGGTGACCCGGCCCTGCCTCCCTCCCAGACTCCAACATTTCCAGCCACTTGCCCTCACTGAGCTGCTGCCAGGCTCACTGTTTTGTTTCTCAGGCAACCAAGCTCGCTCCACCTCAGAGGTAGCTTGCTCTGGTCACTGCCCCCAGGTCTTGACCTGTCCATCTGCTTCTTGTCAGGTAGACCCTCATTTAAATAAGCATCATTTCTTCAGAGAGGCCTTTCCTGACCCCCCGATCTAAGTGGGCCCCACCCCCATGCCTCCACACCACCCCACCATATTACTCTTTCTCTCATCACCCTGACTTCCTGTGTAACACTCGCCTTTTCTAAGTTGACCTTGGCCTCCGGGTATTGCTGTATCTAGTGTAGTGGCTAAGAGCACCCACTCTTGAGCCAGATGGCCTGTGTTTGGATCCGGGCTTTGCCACCTCCTAGCTGTCTGACCTTGGGCAAGTTCCTTCACCTCATTGTCCCTCAGTTTTCTCCTATGTAATCAGAGCAATACTAGTACCATTTCATACAGTTGCTTTGTGGATTATTGAGTTACTATATGTAAAGTGCTCAGAACATTGCCTGGCACGTGGTAAGTGCCACATAAATATTTGCTATTATTATAAGCCTTGGGACTTCCCTGGTGGTCCAGTGGTTAAGAATCTACCTTCCAATGCAGGGGACACAGGTTCAATCCCTGGTCAGGGAACAAAGATCCCACACACCGTGGGGCAACTAAGCCCTCACCACAACTACTGAGCCCGCACGCTCCGGAGCCCGCGCGCTGCAACAAAAGAGCCTGCATGCCACAACTAAGACCCGATGCAGCCAAATAAATAAACAAATAAATAAATGTTTTTTTAAAAAAAGCCTTAGTGCTTGAAACATATTAGGCGGTTAATGCCCATTTGTTGGAGGTAGTTAGACCCTCGTGGGTACTGGGGTGAGAGCTGCTGGCCTGGTGGTAGGCAGCACTGGTGTCGCTGTCTGCCTCCCAGGCTGCGCAGCTCCTGAAGCAGGCTGCAGTAGCTGCTGACTTTTGGCACTTTCCTAGATGTTGCAGATCTGAGTGGAGGCTGGCGTCGGTCACAGATGGCACTCCGGTGGCCTGGTGGCAAGGGGCAAAGCAGAGGTCAGACCCAGAAGCACATGGGCCGTTTAGGGGAGGCCCTCTGGGCCACCATGGTTCCAGCTGCTCTGACCAAGAAGGCTGGGATGGCTGTCATGTATTTAAGCAAAAGTCTTCCCTCTGTCATTGGTCAAAATAAAATCTTGGTATTCTCAGTGGAAAACCAGGCCATTCATAACAACAGCTTGTAGAGTGGGACTTTCACTTCTCCACCCACAGTGTCAATTAGCAGGTATTTTAAGTGGAGAGAAAACCACCATCTTCTGTAGTTCCTTCAGCTACAGCGTGTACTGTTGTTATACTAAATACCATCTCTGAGTTTAATGTTTTACTATGTGGACCAGGGGTTAAGCGTTACAGAACTACCCCTTGCTTTTCTCTTTGACAGTTTTGCATTTGGCTCCCTAATATCTGCTGTTGATCCAGTGGCTACTATTGCTATTTTCAATGCACTTCATGTGGACCCAGTGCTCAACATGCTGGTTTTTGGAGAGAGCATTCTCAACGATGCGGTCTCCATTGTCCTGACCAAGTAAGTGTGCTTTCTTCAAGTGACAGAACTAAAGGGCCTTGTATCAGAGGGGTAGATATTTCCGTGCAGCTGCGTGTACAGTTGCTTATCCTCTGGGTGATCGGTTCACTGCTTCTCCATCTTTCTGGCCTGACAAGCCTTGATGTGCCCCAGGAATCTTGTCAAGGCCCAGGGTGATTAGAGGAGAATCTGCCTTTTAGGATCTACCTTTTAGCAGTGCTTTTAAATTAAACCCAGCTTGGACTTCACTGGAGGTCCAGTGGTTAAGACTCCACGCTTCCAATGCAGGGGGTGTGGGTTCGATCCCTGGTCGGGGAACTACAATCCCACATGCCATGGGGTGTGGCCTAAATAAATAAATAAAGCCCAGCTTCTCATCAGCATCACGGGGGGTGCTTATTAAATGTAGCATTCCCAGGTGCCACCCTGAGAGCTTCCGATTCAGTAGGTCTGGGGTGAGTCCCCAGATGATGATGGAGCAGCCAGCTGAGGGATCAGTATTTGGGCAGCATTGTTCCAGATGAAAGCATGTGACAGAGGCCCTGTTCTCCCACTTGTGAGCTGGTGCACGTCACCTTCCTTTTCGCAGCTGTAAGGTACGGTAGTGATATTCACGGGCATCCTGCCTTAAGATGCTATTATGTGAAAGCTACTTTGGAAATTGCAGATCTTTTTCAGTTGTTCATTGGTATACTGCCCTTGTTGATAGGATCTGAGAAATTAAAGATGAGCCATAAAATGTCAAGAAGTCATTGGGAAAAGCAAATGAGTCTAAGTGCATCTCAAATCCATTTGTCGGATGCGGGGCTGTTTCCTTGCACTCTTAGGTCTGTGGTGTTCATGTATGGACAGGAGACCCAGACAGTTTTACCAAAAAACAAGAAGGTACAGACAGTCAAAGCAGTTGGAGAAAAGAGCCCTGGACAATGTATCAGAGATGAGCTAAGAGAATTTGGGGGGCCATTATGTGTTCTGTTAAAGAATAGTTTTTCCATTTTGATTTTGAACTTGTTTCCTTTGTTGTGGGATTCCTTGCAAAGCATAACCACTCTGTGGTTTTCTTAAAAGCCTTACTATAGACTATATTCAGCATTCTTATGTTGGAATAAAAGAACATTTTATCGTGGAAAGAGCCCAGGTCTTGGGGTCAGGCTGACCTGGGTTCAAGTTCCAGTGATGGCCACTCAGCTGTGTGACACCCTGGGTCAGCTCCTTAACCTCTCTGAGCCACAGGTGTCTCAACAGTAAAGTGAGGGTGATAATGCCTCAGCCTGGAATTGGATTTGAGGATTGAGTAGTTAAATCTACTATGTGAAAAGCATCTGCCATCGGTCAATGTGAGATCCTTTCCTCTTCTGCTCCTGTCCCCCAGCTATTGTTTGTCCTGTTTTTGTCCTGCTTTTGCAGGAAGAACTTACCAAATGTTGCTTAATTGAAAGAGGTGCTCAGCAGACCCTTAAACAAAACAAAAACATGTATATATTCTAAAATAATACATATATTCTGTATATAAAATTTAGAAAACTCACAAAGAAAGAAAGAAAAGAAAAAAAATGCAAGCATTGTAACTCCCAAGAGATAATTACAGTTAACAATTTGGTAGAAGGTACATGTAATTTATTTAGATGGGTATATACTGTATTGTAACTTTTCCATTGAATGGAGTTGATAAACATCATTTATATTTATAACATCATTTAACTAGTTGCATAGTATTCTTTCTATGGGTTTACTGTAATCTATTTATGGATTTACTGTGATCTATTTGACCAGTTCCCTATTGTTGGCTTTTTCATGTTTCTCTTGGCAAAAATTTCTGTAGCTTTATTAGGAAATTATATATCATGCTGTAAGAGCTTTTTAAAAAAATCTGATATTTTTTCTTAAGATCTACTTTGAAAGTGTCTTAGTTTTCTGGTTTTTACCTTTATCTTGTGTCCTGGTTGTGCATTTGAACATTTGTGATAAGGAATTGTGCCTAAATTGGAGGTGACATCATGAGTTATTCTTATACATGAAGAGCTAAACTCAACTGCCTTGTCTCTAATTTATTTTTTTCTTAAATCTGGCAGAAGTAGGATCTTTTCTGAGCTTTCCCAGGTCTCCTTTGCCACAGAAAGGCCAAAGGTTAGGAGATACTTTGTTTTTAAAATGAGAAAGGATGGAGTCATTGTAACTAGCCATACATTCTTCCTGGAAAAGTGCTTTTGAAGGCCAAGTTCACCTATGATGACAGTTTCCAAAACTGAATCAGGGGGCCACATGCATATATGGTTTCCAGCCTTCACCTCCACTACTTACCGGTACACAGGCTGGGGTAGAAGTCTCTGACTCAGATGGGTTGTCCTGTGAGTCCGTAGGCATTTTCCGGTGAAAGTGGCAGATGGGGGAGAAAGGGGGTGTGGTAGGACTGCCTTGTTTTTGCAGTGTAGGGGGAGGTGTTGTCAGCTTTCCTTGGTTACAAGGAAGAATCACATCTTGTTTTTCAGAGTGATCTGATGATGATACATTTATCTTTGTAACTGAATATGTGAATGAATTACCCCTGTTTTAATGTTTTCACTTTCATAAGTGCCAGAAAGCTGAGTATCTTCTGTTTCTTCATTAACCTTAATTAAATTATTTTTAGCTTTGATTTGTTACTATGACAATCTATTCTTACAATAATTGTGGTAGAGGAAACCTTTAGTTCTCTGCAGCTGCAGCTAAAGCTCATGAAATGGATCCTGAAGCAACATTGTCTTTTATTCTTTAAGGTGTGAGGAACATGACCCGAAAAAATAAAATGCATGACATTTCCAGGCTAGAAAGAGTCCGAATTCTACCTTCATTTATCTTGAGTTCAGAAACCATTGGCCTCGGCCCTGGGTCTGCTGTTAACCATTGGTGTGACCTCACCCAGTTAGCCACTTTCTTTAGGCCTCAGTCTCCTTTGCATGAAAAGAAAGCAGTGACACCAGCCAGTGTCCCAGCTGTGGTAATGAAATGAGGGCGCTGGATGCTATGCTCGTGGCCCACGGATCCATTTGGGACCTAGAGGTGATCTTAGCCTTCAAAAGTACTTTCCCAATTAGAAACTTATTGGTTCCCAGCTTTCCCCAAGGTGGGATGTTAACATGGGATCTGCTGGCAAAGAAAGGGAATGGGGCTATTGGGGTGAGTTTAGAAAACTTTTATGTGAAAAAAGTTGGTTTTCTTTTTTGCAGGACTTCTCAGAACCTTTATTATGTTATATTATGCTGTAAATCACCACAAAAGGCTGAGGTTATCTGACCGAGCCACCCTTTTATCACAAATTATCCTGCTTTAAAATTATACCAGTTCATGAAACGCTAATTAATGAAGCTGAACATTACTATTGACAATTCTTTGTTTTGTTTACTGATTCAGCAAAAATTTGTTGAGTATCTTCTGTGTGCTGGGCTCTGCTTAGGCCCTGGACATATGGCAGTGAACAAGGTGGACACAGGCGTGGTCCTCATGGAATGATTCACTAGTTCCACTGCTGTGGAGAAGTCAGGCACCAGGAGAGCCTGTAAATGGGCTGGCCTATGTGAAGGCAGGTGTCCCTGAAGGAGTGTCACTGACCCTGTGTGCTGAGAACAAGCCAGAGTCAGCTGGAGCCCAGGAAGAGTGACATACGACCTACAAACTACCGGGAGGTGTCAGTGACAGTGGAGCCCAGCCCGAATGAGGAGGAGATGGGATGGGAGGCGTGGTGGGGAGGAGTCCGTCAGGCTCAGAAGCCTAAGCTTCCCCCTGAAAGCAGCAGGAGACTGACGAGGGGTTTTGAACAGGCCAGTAACTCCATCAGATGTGCATTTTCAAGGGATCGTTCACGCCCCTGAGTAGAGAATGGGTTCTCCTAGGAAGAGCGGGGTGTATAGAGAGAGAGATCCGTGAGGCAGAAGCCCTGAGCTGGAGGGTAGTAGGGGAGGGAGGGAGAGAAGTGGATGCGTTTGGGAGAAGGTGGGCTCAGCAGGAGGAGGATATTTAATGAGGATGACTCTTCTAACAGTACAGTGGTTTTACCCTCGGGGATAAAACCAACAGTTGAATTTAATGGCTGCTGACATTTTTCTTTGCTCTGTAGCAGTGAAAGGAAAGCGCTTTCAATTCTTCCTCTTGATGTCTCCTCCCAAATCCCCACTCTGGGCCTTACCCACTGATATTTCTTCTTCAGGAGGCTCCATTCTAGTCTGACTTCATGCCACAGCCTCAGTTTCGGGTTTTATCCCACAGGATCCCCACTCCGCCACGCCCACCCCGCACTGAAAACACTTCCTGTGACTCCCCAGGGCCTTCAGGATGAAACACCAACTCCTTAGCTTGGTTCATCGAAAGCCTTTCACAGGACCTGGCCCCGCCTGCTGCTCTTGCCTTACTCTTGCCACTGTCCTCCCCGCCAGCCCCTCCCCCAGCAGCCAGTTCCTGTGTTCTGTCCACAGTCGTCTGTGTAACTTCCTGCTCCTAGATACACTGCTAGTATTTTGGGGCTCCCTACCTCCACACGTGCTCTCCCCTCTGCCTTGGGTGCATTCCCTCATTTCTTCACCTGGTTAGCTCTTCTTTATCCTAAATTGAAACCCAGCCCATGTGTCATAAAGAACCTTCCTAGACCCCCACCAGTCTGAGTTCGATGCCCACCGTGTATTTCCTACAGCTCTCTGCTCTTTCCTGAGATGGTCCTAGTTTCCATCTTGTTAGTTTTTTATTTTCTTTTTGGCTGTATTGGGTCTTCGTCGCTGCGCGTGGGCTTTCTCTAGTTGCCGTGAGCAGGGGCTACTCTTCGTTGCGGTGCGCGGGCTTCTCATTGCAGTGGCTTCTCTCGTTGCAGAGCACGGGCTCTAGGCGCGTGGGCTTCAGTAGTTGTGGCACGTGGGCTCAGTAGTTGTGACTCACGGGCTCTAGAGCACAGACTCAGTAGTTGTGGTGCACAGGCTTAGTTGCTCCGTGGCATGTGGGATCTTCCCGGACTGGGGCTCAAACCCATGTCCCCTGCATTGGCAGGTGGATTCTTAACCACTGCACCACCAGGGAAGCCCTCCATCTTGTTTTTCTCCCTCATTAGACTATAGAGTTCCCTAAGGGCAGGCACCTGCTCTCATCTCTGAACCCCCAGAAACTAACACAGTGCCTGGAACAAAGTAGGTGAACAAATAAGTGTTTGACTAACGGGTTGAATGATGAATGAATGAGAGAATAAGCCAGAAGTAAGTTTTGAGTTCTAAGTTAATTTCTAATAACTTTGTCTATAACATTTTAACTTCTTTCTTTTTTTTCTTTTATTTCCTAGCACAGCTGAAGGTTTAACAAGAAAAAATATGTCAGATGTCAGTGGGTGGCAAACATTTTTACAAGCCCTTGGCTACTTCCTCAAAATGTTCTTTGGCTCAGCAGCACTCGGCACTCTCACTGGCTTAATCTCTGCATTAATATCCTTTTAATATGATGAACACATGTGGCTGAGAAGATTATTCCTAATTACATCCGTCTCTCGTCATTTTCTCCAGTTCCTTAAGGGGACCAATTTTAGTCTAAAGTTGTATTTAAGGAGGATTCTTATGCTTAGTTCTGGTTTGAAGAACACTTTAATTTAAACTCAAGGATTTTAAAATTTAACATTAGAAATTTAGGATATCACTTTTCAAAGCTTAAAAAACATGTACACTGTTGAACATCAGATCTGACTTTGGGGTCTTCTCAGTTCCCAGAGTGTGATAACTGCATTCAGATGAATTTCATTTTCTGCTGTCTCACTTTTCATATTAAGAAAATCGGAAATTAATTTCCTTTGAAAATGTCAAATTGAGAAAATCTCTACGCCACTGAAAGTATTTATCTGGAAGAACCAGAAAAGAGACTTTCAAAGTGAGCTCCATCTAAGTTATTCACACTGATTTTGTGGCTTAACAACCCATAAGCTTTTCCAGCCATAGAAGCCAAGAGACTTGTTAAGGCCGCTGACACCTTTATTGCTGTAGAAAATTTGTCACATTTAAAACAGGAACAGGCACCAGACCTTTTCTGTGTGAGCGTAAGCCTGCATGCATCTTGGGGAGATGGCCACCTGGCCCTCCTCCACCAGCAGTTTGTTTCACAGATGGCCGGCCAGGAAAGCCTCTTCTGCCTGAGACAGGCGTGTTTGTCTGCCATCCTGTTGAATTTTCCCTTCAGTTCCTATGTCCAGAAGTCTCAAGGTGCTGTTGAGTCAGCTGACAGCTTCTTATATTGCATCAATAAACGGAATGGAAAAGAAAACTTTTTCTAGTTCAGTATTTTCCTCTGTATTTATCTCTTTATTTAAAAGAGCGGAGGGGCGGGCGGGGAGAGCATCTTCTTTAATGAAGCCCCAGTAAATGGGTGCTGTGGGCTCCAGCACAGGCATGTGAACAACATTTGAATACGTGGAAGATTCTCCTTTCACAGGAACATGAGTTTATAAATGTCCAGGAAAAGGAGAGAAGGTCCTTCAATGGGGCACTGATCCCCAGGATCCTGGAAACCCCATTAGTGACCTCAGCTGATGTGGTCAGTGGAGTGGAAGAGGGACACGGCCCTGGAAGGGGCCTGGCAGTGTGGGGTGTCCTCAGTCTGTCTGCAGCCCCAGCTCCCCACAGCCCGCCCCCCACCCATCCCGCGGTGGCTCCCAGCCCTCCAAGTCAGCATTTCCAAATGAAATGACTTAGGGTGACTTTAGTTTTCCCCTACCGTTTGTCTCAGGAATTTACATCTCTTAGTATTTTGTCAGATGCCCTTCCTTAAAGCAAGAGTCTCCCTGCAAAGAAAAAAACCCATAATGACAAATTTTCACCTGTTACCTTGACATGTTCCCAAATCTTTGTATCCATTGTTTACCTTCTCTATTTGGAAGGCAGCTGTTTTGTGACTTCTCTAGATCACCCGTAAGTGTCCTTTGATTCTTTTTCCTTGACAATTGTCATTTACGTGCTAAAGCATATTGACTTGAGGAAAACGCCTTCCTTGGAGTTTGGCATGATGATCATTTTTGCTTATCTTCCATATGGGCTCGCAGAAGGAATCTCACTCTCAGGTAAGTGCCGGAGAGTGTTGAAATGCTGGGGTTGATGGTCCGTGGTCCTGCCTGGTGAAAGGTTATGTCGATTGGGTCACTTTCAATCATAAGAGACAGTCACGACTCAGAAGAGCTTAAGCAGTAAAGGGGACTAGCTGGCTCTCTAGGGATACATCTGGATTTAGACCTGGCTGGATCCAGGAACTCAGTGTTGTCACGGTCACCTTTTCTCTTTACCCGCCATCCTGTAGCAGAGATCAAAACATCTCTTCCAATGTTGCCTCTCTCTCAAAACAAGCCCTCTGAAGGGCCTTCAGTCAAAGGATGGGGTCAGACTGCCGAGGGCAGTCAATCCCTTAGCCCGTCCCTGGGCCCTGGCACCCACTGACCTGCATTCTTCCACTATAGTTTTGCCTTTTCCAGAATATAAATGTCATATAAAGGGAATCATGTAGTTTTTAGTCTTTTGTGACTTGTTTCTTTCAGTTTTCATAGTGTTCTTGAGAGACACCACGTTTTTGCTGTATCAGTAGTTTTACATTCTTATTGAGCCGGTTTTTCCATTCACCCTTTGAAGGACATTTGGACTTTTCCAGATATTGGCTGTTAATGTGCGTATCTTCATTTATCTTGGATAAATACCGAGGAGTAAGTAAGGTTGCCGGGTCTTATGGTAGGTGTATATTTTGCTTTATCAGAAACTGCCCAGTGTTTTACAGAGTGACTGGGCCATTTGCATCCCCACCAGAATGTACGAGAGAGTGTCAGCTGCTTCACATCCTCGTCAACACTTATTTTAATTTTGAAAACTAGCCATTCTGACGGGTATGTGGCAGTTTGATTTTGATGTGCCTTGGTGTGCTTCTCTTTATCTTCCTCTCGGGATTTGTTGAACTTCATGGGTTTATGGTTTGTGTAAGTTTATGGCTTTTATCAAATGTAGTACGTTTTTATCAGTTTCTTGAAATATTTTTTTCTGTTCCTCCTCTGCTGCTGAGCAGAATTCTCCTTCCCTCAGGTCACTGTCTGGCATCACACATGGGTCCTCTGTGAGCAGGTCTTGCCAAGGAGGAGGCAGAGAGGACTCTGGCCATTTTCCCTGGAGAACGTTGTAAACCTCAGGGTCTCGTTTGTTTTTAATCCCAAGCCGGTTCTCTTGGATAATTTCATCCCGGTATCTGCCATCCTGTTCCCTCTCTTATCTTTCCTGAATTTTGGCACTTACATAAACACCACCTGTGAGTCATTTGGCTCTAGCCTAGCTATTTTTACCTCTGTTTTTCTAGATCATTCCCCACCCCTTTGAGATGAACACTGAGTACCTGTTGGCAAAGATATATTTCATGCATCCATTTGAAATTTGTGATTAAGACCAGGGAGTGTTTTTCTTGCCTTTTCTTCAGAGAGGCAGTGTTTTCTATTTGTAGGGGTTTCATTTCCTTGGGGACCTCTGCCGTGCACACTAATGGGGCCGAAAAGAGCACATGCAAGCCAAGAACACACTTGTCCGCCTCTGGGTGACGGGCTGGCTCTGCCCACACTCTGCCGGTGGGATGTTTGTCACCCCGGGTTTTCAGAGAAGGGGAGGCTCACCCTGTTAATGTAAGGGTACAAACAGGAAAGGTGGCTTTGGTGCTGTCCCCTCCTTCCTCTTTGTGCTCTGCTTTTCCTAACTGTCGCAAAGGACGAAGTGGTTACCATGGCCACCAAACAGGACGTTCTCCCTAAGAATCATTTACCTAAATCTGTGTGTCTAGAACACAGCGGTTAAGGGCACCGGACAGACTCGGTTTGAATCCCACCTCCACCTCTCATTAGCTGTGTAACTGCAGAGAGCAGACTTAACCACTCTGAGCTTCCACTTCCTCACATGAAGTAGACATAATAAAAGTGCCACTCTGGGGCTTCCCTGGTGGCGCAGTGGTTGAGAATCTGCCTGCCAATGCAGGGGACACGGGTTCGATCCCTGATCCGGGAAGATCCCACATGCCACGGAGCAACTAAGCCCGTGCACCACAACTACTGAGCCTGTGCTCTAGAGCCTGTGAGCCACAACTACTGAGCCCACGTGCCACAACTACTGAAGCCCACGCACCTAGAGCCCGTGCTCCGCAACAAGAGAATCCACCGCAATGAGAAACCTGTGCACCGCAACGAAGAGTAGCCCCCGCTCGCCGCAACTAGAGGAAGCCCGCGCACAGCAACGAAGACCCAACGCAGCCAAAAATTAATTAATTAATTAAATTTAAAAAAGAAAAAGAAAAACCTTTCACTCGTCCATTCAGTAAATATTTATTTAATGCCCACCCTGTGCGGAGAACACTCCTTGGTTTCAGAGGTACAGTAATAAACAAGACAAGATCAGGTTTCTGCCTGGAGAAGGAAGATAATAAACAAGTAAGCAAACACATAGGGTAATTTCAGGTAGTAAGAAGTGATGTGAGAAAAAGAAATCAGAGTAATGTGATGGAGTGTCACGGGGGCAAGAACATTATGAGGTAGGGGGTCAGGAAGGTGTCCTCAGAGGGGTGGCACTGGGGCTAAGACCTGTGTGGTGAAAAGGAGCCAGCATTGGAGGCTCTGGGGAGGGAGTGATTGGCAGCGTGAGCAGCAGGTGCCGAGAGTCCCAGATAGATCTGAGGGAGCTTGGCTTGCTCCAGGAAGAGCAGGAAGATAGCGTGGCTGAAACAGAAGGGCAAGGACCCCATCCCGCAGGGTTCTGTAGGCCTGGGAAGGAGTTGGCATTCTGTTACACACGCAAAGCCAAGTGTTGGAGGACTTTTTAAAAAATCACTGTGCCAGTAATACGTGTCATATCTGTAATATGATACTGTTTATTACTTTTTAAAAATATATTATTTCTTTTTTTGGCTGCATTGGGTCTTCGCTGCTGCGTGCGGCTTTCTCTACTTGCGGCAAGCGGGAGCTACCCTTCGCCGCAGGGTGCAGGCCCCTCATTGCGGTGGCCTCCCTTGCTGCGGAGCACGGGCTCTAGGCGCGTGGGCCTCAGCAGTTGTGGCTCACGGGCTCTAGAGCACAGGCTCCGTAGTTGTGGCGCACGGGCCCAGTTGCTCTGAGGCATCCCAGACCAGGGCCCGAACCTGTGTCCCCTGCACTGTGCCACCAGGGAAGACCCTATTTATTACTTTTTTTAAAGACAGATAAACTTTATAATGGCATAGTAAAAGAGCTGGCAATCTGCATGTTGAACTGTATAGTAGTTACCTCTGGGCACGTGGTGTGAATGGAGAGTCTTGTTTTACTCTTTACCTCTGAGTTCAGATTTTTTATAGCAAAATATGTTCCTTATTGGGTAATTAACAAACAAAACTGACTATGGCCTGACTCAGCCTTCAAGAAATACATCATGTTTTACCCGCAGTAAAGTTCAGTGCAATAGAAATTGTACACAATACCCTTTCAACTCCTGCCCTTTGGATTTGAATCCCTTTATTCCTTAATTACATTTGAAACAATGGATTTAACTGAGACTAGAAGTGGATTTCCTCCCTCCTCCCTCCCTCTCTTCTTTTCCTGCCTTCCTTCAGAGGCTGACTGCTTGCTGCACTGCTGTCTACTTCCTTAAATGAACTTGCCTTCTGAAAGAAGTAAATGTATCAGGATTCTTCATTCCAGGGCATGTTTTAAATCCCCAGGCCTTTTATCTCCAGGAGTGAGCCTGCTGGACCGTTTTCCCCTTCAGTGTCTTTGCAGCCTATGCTGGGGGCAGCTGCAGTGGGTGAGGGTCGTCTAAGTGGTAATGTCACCTGGGCTTAGGGAGGGCACGTAGGGCAGACACTTGAGCTGTCCCTGCAGCTTTTGTACCCACTGCTGACCCTGACTCTTTCCTTTAGCCCCCGGGATTTGAGAGTTCCCCCGACCCCAGACTGGACTGGCATGAAGGTCGTGGCTGGCTGGTCACTCTTTTGTTGTCCAGAGGGCCCGTTTCTGTATGGTCCAAATTCAGCCCCCAAATGGGATTTGTTTACCTCTACAGAAAATGTTTAAACACTTCAATTAGTTGCTGTCGTTAAAAGTCAGAAGATTTCTGGGAATTCCCTGGCGGTTCAGTGGTTAGGGCTCGCTGCTTTCACTGCCGGGGGCCCGGGGTTCAATCCCTGGTCAGCGAACTAAGATCCAGCGAGCTGTGTGGCGCGGCCAAAAAAAAAAAAAAGAGTTGGAAGATTTCCCATAAGAAACAGATTTCTGGAGTTTCTCAAAAACCAGAAGGAAGACTGGTCAGCACTAGGCCTCCATCCACAGGGCTGCCATCAGCCCTTTATAGATGGGCTTGTGCCTTCTCTGCCCATGTGCCACTCACCCACTTATTGTTTTTATCTTTATTTTTATTGTCTGGCCCCTGAGGAGTTTGGGTTTCCAACCCCTAGCCTACAGTGCACCAGACTAAAGCAGCCAGCCAGACGCCTGCTGCGTTGAGCCTGTCTCCTTGTTTTCTGTGGAGGAAAGCTTGCTCGGCCTCTGGCAGTGGCCTCTCCTGATGCTAGTCCCACGGGAAGTTCCACGTTTCACTGTCAGAGCTGACTTTCCAGAACCTTTGGCTTTCTGCAGTGGCTGTTTAATACCGGGACTCCCGTGGGCTATGATGACCTCGTTCTGTAGGCAGAATGACGACGTGGGCGGAAGGCCACTCCTGTCACAACTTAAGCGGGTGTGATTCACAGCTTAAGTGGTTCAGGCTCCTCTGGGGTTGACTTTCCCTTCAGGGTAAGAACTCCAAAGCCTCAGCTTTGCAGTGAATTGATAACCCTTCTTGAAGCAGGCTGGCGAAACAAAGCCCTCTGAGAGCCCAGAAGCCAGAGCCGTCTCTAGCATTGGACTGCACGGAAGGAAGAGAGAGGCTTAGGAGCAAGTCCGTAGGAACTGAAGTGTGCTGTGCCGCGTGCTCCTCCCCCAACCTCAACGGTTCTGGTCTCTCCCTCTGTTTCACCTCACGTTGCCTGTGGCCTCTGTGGTCTAGAGGCAGAGTCAGGAGGGAGAAGCTCTCGGGTGGTCACCTGCAGGAACTTACTGAGAAGAGCTGATGAATTGAGGGGACAGCCGGAGGTGTTGTTATTGTGTGTTTTGTCTAGCGGAGCAGAGGCTCAGAACGACTCGTGACTTCCAGAGTCTTCTCACTGCTCTGAAGTAGCAAGTAAAGAAGTCTCCTGCCCTCTCCTTTCCTTTCTCCAGGCTCATGAGGTGTGGCTGTTGGGCAGCGTTGCTGGAATTTCCCTGTCTGGCCTCCTTTTTGGGAAAAATGAAAGAGCAAAGGAATTTGCTGTTTCCCAAGAGGGCTAGGAGATAACACGTTCCAGCTACTGCTATCTCTCCGGCCAGCAAATACCTGTTGGGCACCGCAAAGAGCAGGGTTTTCCTGTTTTGTAAGGTCTTGTTTATGCAGCAAGCTTGGCAGTTGAAATGTCTCCAACGCAATTCTGTGTTTTTCAATCATTTTGCTTTCTGCCAAAACAAACTTTATTGCACCAAAAAGAAAAAACAAAACTTCATTTATGTACAGTCAGATATAAAGACATCTCTTTGACTCCTGTGCATATATTTCCTCAACTCAAGATTAGGGTGTAAAAGTCAGGCTAGTATGCCAGACATGCTCTGCCCATGGCAGGACCAAGGAGAGGATTGTCACTTGAAAGTGGGCACACTTAAATGGATGACAGGTAACACTGGACCAACAGACCAAGGGCATTCTTCCAAGCCTTGTACTAGCTCTGGGAATGGAAGAGGGAAATTGGAAGCAGGGCCCCTTTTTGAGTCTTCTTGTGAAGAGACCCAGCCTTCAGGTATCAAAGCTAAACTTCTGTCCCCCAAGCGCACTTCCTGTCCAGTTCCTTTGCTTCCTGCCCTCCCAAGTAGGACATTCTCCTTTGCTTCACTCATTTTTAAATGGGAAGTTAGCCAGTAATCTGTTTCTACAAAATGGCATAAGTGAGTTAAATATTTGCTTATAAAGTTTGACTTGGAATTCATGTATCTTGGCAGCTTGTTTAATGGCTTTGTAAAAATCTCAGCTTCCTTACATGAAATAAAGACCTCTTTGCTGCTGCCTTGCCAGGGAGACACTGAGAGGAAACCCATGGAAGTGGCTTCAGCAGTGATTAGGGGCAGTGGACAAAAGTTGAAACTCAAATCCTGAGTACACAACAAAAGTTGTAGACTCTCTCATGGTGACCTTTAAAGAAAAGACATCACTTTTTTTTAAATAACACATCTCTCTTTTCATATTATAAGGTTAATTCATGGCGATTATGGGAAAATTCAAAATTAAAGTATGACAAAGTAAATAAAAATCCACCCATTCTCCATACCCAGATTCTTATGTTCCCTTTCTGCCCCTATTATATCCATGAATGACAGTGACGGCTCACACCTGTTCTGCCCTGGTCTTGTGAAGGGCACTTTACATGGCTTCTCTGCATTACCCTCCTAACATGTCCATGAGCGTGGGTACTGTTAGTCCCACTGTACAGTTGAGAAAACTGAGGCTTGGTGAGGGGAAGAAACTTGGCCCAAGGTCACCCAGCCGGTAATGAAGCTGCCAGAGAGACGGGCCCTTAGCAGTTCTCTGCAGCCTCTGGGAGGCCTCAGGTATTATTTTCCCATCCTTTTTCTTAAAACACCTAATACTATAGGCTCCAGGGACTTGTAGGAAGTGTGAGGCATTATTGCCTATCACATGGAAGGTGCTTTTCTGTTCTGTTCATGTCTGTGCACTTTGCCCCTTTGTCCCTCTCTAGGCATTATGGCCATCCTGTTCTCAGGCATCGTGATGTCTCACTACACACACCATAACCTGTCCCCAGTCACCCAGATCCTCATGCAGCAAACCCTCCGGACTGTGGCCTTCTTGTGCGGTGAGTTCTGCCTCTGTGTGGTCCCACGTGGGCCTACCCAGAGCTACTTGTTCTTCCTCAGCCTGTTCCAGGAGTCCGTTGAGATTTTCCCTGACAGAAGAGGCAGCAGAATTCCTCAGAGCCAGATACTGCACTCCCTTATCTTTTGTTTGTTACTCTGGCTTTCACATTCCATAAAGTAAGCCTAATACCTAACAAATGGAACTTTCGACGCCTATAATTTTAAGACCAAAAAATAATGAGAACTGCGAATAATGAACATTTGAGACTCGTGTATTTGCAATATATGAAAGTGATGTTTCTAAAAAATGCGTTCCTTGGAACTGATATTGATGAGCATTAAGTGAAAAAAGACTCCATAGTCAAAAAACAGTTTGGGAAATCCTGGGGTAAATAAAGTTTAACAAGTTTCTGAACTTGTGAGACTTTTCCGCCAACGTGCATTGTGAATTTCTAAGAGAGAGACAGAGTGACAGCATTTCCCAAACTTGTCCTTTGTTCACAAGAGCATCTTGAAGGATGTGTCTCAGGCAAACCCTGAATTAGAGGTGTCATCGTTGGCCTGGGCCACACCGTGATGACTGTTTCTCTTAAGCAGTTTCAGTTATGCATCACAGTCTGATGAACCCATCATGCACCTGCCCCTAGTTTACACCTGGGAGTGAAGGAACCACTCTCACACTGTCCCTTTACACCAGCCCCCAAGTGGCTGTGCTCTGCCTGTCACCATCAGCACCTCCCCTGGCATTTCTGTGGGCTGTCTCATTTCGAAGCACCAGTTCCACACTGTCACGTGCTGGGAGTCGGGGGCAAGCTGTGCAGAGACTTCATTCCACAAACAGGGAGTCTCAGGTCACATGATCTGAGCACTGTCTCATGGCTAAGAAGTGAGTCTGGAAGCGGTCTGTCTCTTCCTGGCCCAGTGGGTATTGTTTCCACAGCACCCTTCTCAGAAAGTCATGGCGAAAGACTCTCTCACCGTAAGGAAATGTAAAGCAAAACATCCATCAAATTCTATTTTGTACCCATCAGATTTTCAGTTTGGTGATTCCCCACTTCCGGCACAAACGTATAGAAAATAGGCCCTGTTGATGGGCATATACACTGATACCATCTTTTTTGGAGAGTCATTTGCAGCATCAGTCTGAATTTAAAAGGCACATACTCTTTGACCCAGCGATTCTACCATCAGGGATTTAGTCTGTGCACAGGGATGTATGTTGTTGCTTTTTCAATATCAGAAATAGAAACAGTCTAAATATCCATCAAGGATTCATTAAATTAACCATGACGTATCCACATAATAGTATTCATGCTGCCAGGGAAAAGCATCACATAGATCTGAATGTGTTCTAAATAAGCTGATTGCAAAAGATGACAAAAATATTTGATAAAAACATTCAAGGAGGAGAAGGGTAAGTATACTGTCCAGCTTGTGGACTTGTTCTAAGAGGATACACATTTGAAGAAAAAAACATTGCTGAAATGTTTCAAAACAGCCTTGATGTTTTATGATGCTCAACTTTTAAAATAGTGTCTTTGTCTCCCAGGCTCTACGTTTATTCTGGAGGATGTCACAGTCTAAGCGGGGAGCCTGGTGCTAGGAATTTCTAAGGTGCTTTTTCTTAGGATACACAAGTGACTGCTTGTACAGCAAGAGTAAATGTCAGACTCTCTTTGACTTGTGGCGTGGAGCCAAGAGTTGAAATGTATTTCTTCCTGCAAATCCTGCAGGATGTAAGCCTTCTTCTAAACTTTGTGGCAACATTAAATATGTGAAGTCAGTCATTTGGCTTTGTCCACTCTGGCAAGGAAGTTAACAAAGGGCCCTTTCACACTAGTCACATGGCGTCTGCAGTCATTTGCTCTGAATTTTTGCCACTTTGCCGCAGTTGGGATCCTTGCTGATCACAGTGTTCAGCAAATGGACAGATTCATATATTTATCACCGTCCCCGGGTGGGAGAGTATTTATTTGCATGGGTATTTGACAGCTGGCTTATTAAATTAGGAGATTCTGAATAGCAAGCACTTGTTGCTTACGTGATAGAAAAGAATGAGAGAATCAAAGGACAAGTTTGCCAAGGTACTGGTTGCAGGATTTTCCAGAAAATAAGCAAAGTGGTATACTGGATTCTGATTAACTTCTGAATGTTTGCTTGCATAACAATCCCGTGCTGTACTGGAAGAAAATAGTTGAGGCTGAATAATCCATTCTTTGGTTTGTTTCAGAAACATGTGTGTTTGCATTTCTTGGCCTGTCCATTTTTAGTTTCCCTCACAAGTTTGAAATTTCCTTTGTCATCTGGTGCATAGTAAGTATTTTCCTTGTTTTTTATTTAACTACTTATTTGTAGATCGATAACCACATATTCTGGATTCATTTATGTAACTGTTAACTGGTCGAAGTCAACAGCTACATAGACAACCTTCTGTTTGAAGTTTCTTTTTGTTAAAAATTCATGAACATACAATAAATGGGAAGGGATGGAATTAAGTAAATAAATATCCCTAGAAAAGAATTCTTGCTTGGTTTTAATTTTAAGTGGCCTTGAACTGTTATAGTCTTCTTTAAAAATTACCATTTTTTTCAGGACTTCCCTGGCAGTCCAGTGGTTAAGACTTCCGAGCTTCCACTGCAGGGAGCACAGGTTTGATCCCTGGTCAGCAGGGAACTAAGATCCTGCAGGCTGCAAGGTGCAGCCATAAAAAAAAAAAAAAAAATTTACCAGTTTTTAACGTTAGGTAGTAAAAGCAGATTTCAGAATTGAAATGTGTAATTGATCATAACCATGTAAAAACGGCATGCATAGAGAAAAGAAAATATGTAAGAAAATGCAGCCAAATGTTCACAGTGGTTGTAGAACTGGGGAAGATTTCTTTTTCTTTTCTACTTTTTCTGGATGATTATAATGAATATACCTAATTCTTGCTGTGGTTTCCTTCAAATGTGTCCATTTATAAGCATGACCTTGGACACTTGTTCAAGGTAAAGATTACGAGGCCCTTACCTCCTTTGGAGATTCATCTGGAGGAATCATCATCCCAGGTGATTCTTATCATTGAGAAGATTTGGGAAACTGTTGTAATTGGACGAGAGAGGGGTGGTGGCAGTAGGAGACAAGTTAAAATGTACCTTTAAAAAAGAAAAATAGAAGTTTAATCATTTGCATTCAAATCAGATCTTGGGAATGGAATGGGAGAAAAATAAATGTTTAAGCATTTAAAAGAAAGGTCCAGCTCCCTCAGGCATCTGATCAAAGTGACGGGAATGGCTAACATTTGGGCATTAGCCTGGTGTTCCCAGGTCCCTCGTCTGTGTCCCTCCTGTGTCTCTGTCCCGTCAGTGTGAACTCATCTCCCATAGGTCCTCCTGCTGATTTATACTCCTGTCCCTAATTTGATCTGTTTGTTGTCTTTTTAGATCCTCTGTTAATTTAAGGCACTTGCAAAGCACAGCTTGTTGAGTTACCATAATTCATCTTAACTTTTATTACCAGCTCCACTTAACAAAACACAGCTATTGAGAGGCAGGCTTTTTCTTTTAAATCACTGTCACCTACCACGTGCAAACCAGTGAGGCCTACCTATTTGGCATATGGGGAACCTGAGGCAGAGAAGATAAGGAACCCTAAAGAAAAAGATGTTTCTCCTTGCAATCTGGGTGCTTCTACCTTAGTTGGCACAAGCTCATTGCTTTTGTCACTGTTATGTGTCCTCCAAACTCAGGTTTTAGGACAAGAAAACAGCAGCAAAAGTCTTTTATAGAAAGTATAGTAGCCTTTAATGTGGTCACTGGGTGAAAGGGGCCACATTTGGTCAACCCTGAAACACACATGTGGGAATGGAGGATTAGATTTCAGTGGGTGAAACAGGGAGGTGGCGATCTCAGCCATGAGCTGGGAGGGAAAGAAAAATGAGGCGATGCCTGGGGTGGTGACTCAGTTTCCCCTGAGCAACTGGTCAGTCTGGCCCTGGCACTCCTAGAGACGGCCTGTGCCGCTCAGATGGATTACCTTAGACTCACTCCGTGGTCAAGGGCATGGGCTCTGGGGACCGAGCCAGGTTTGGGACTTGGCTCCACCACTTCCTGCCTGCGTCAGCTTGGACCAGTTACTTAATACTTAACCTCTCGCTGTCTCAGTTTACTTGTCTCTAAAATAGAGACAGTAATACCTACCTCATGAGACCTTTGGAAGGATGTAAATTGAACAAGATAATGCATATAAAATCATTAGAGCATTGTCTGGCATATAAATGTTAGATGATTGTGGGTAATTATTAACTTGACCTTCCAAGGCACAACAGTCCAAAGCACACTCAATTCATGCGGGTTATAAGAATAAACTTAGAGCCTTAGAATGTATATATATATATATATATATATATATATATTATTCTGTTCAAGTTAGTTATGGTGAGAACCAAGATGAAGAAACTGGAAGTAAATTAATAAGTAGTTCTAAGAAGCCACTTAGATAAGATTTAGACTTTACATAAAGCTCTATTTTGTTACAATCGACATGCCTTTGGAGATGGCTAGGAACCAAAAGCCATGGCAAGCAACTGGCTAGACAGGGTGTATGTGACCTCCTGTTAGAACCCACCTGTGCATTCCTCTTGCGCAGGGAGCAGCATTTACGGACATAGGTAGGCGCTTTTCAGCCTTCGCTCCTTTCCCTGAGGAGTGGGGCCCCCATGGGAGAGGCAGGAGTACCTTGTCTGTTCCCCCAGAGCTAGCCCATTGGGAATGATTAGTGCAGGCCCGTCCCACAGCGGAGCACATTTGGAGGAGCCAGATTACCCTTAAATTAATCTCTGGGTACTTCTGCACGGCCTCTTGGCATTACTGAAGCTGTCATTGATACCTTGTTAGTCCTCTCTTTCTGACAATGGAAACGTAACATACAAAGCTTTAATCCTTTCCTAGACACATAGAAACTGGCATCTCCTGGGTCTCTGCTTAGCACTGAGTTCATGTCTTTGATGACAAGGGGATGCTGCCTTTATGATGGGTGTGTTACCAGGTCTGTGTTAGCCTCAACAAGCTTCAACTTGAAGAACCAGAGGTTTCCATGTTAAGACCTAGTTTGTTGCTGTTAACAGGTGCTTGTGCTGTTTGGCAGAGCGGTGAACATTTTCCCTCTCTCCTACCTCCTGAATTTCTTCCGTGATCATAAAATCACACCAAAGATGATGTTCATCATGTGGTTCAGCGGTAAGCCCAATCTTGAACGAACGGTGGAGGGAACATGTGTGTTATAAAGGCACAGGCCCTGCGGAGAATGCCCGTGCCTGTCCCCGGAGCCCTTGCGAGACGAGCATGCCTCACCAGCCCCGAGTTGCACGTGCTCCCACTTAAGGGCGCCGCTGTAACACAGGCCCTGCGCGAGGCCCTTTGCAGGCGGCACCCCTCCCCACAGCGCAGGAAGTGGGTGGTGCGTGTCTGCTCTACAGATGAGGAAGCTCAGGCTCAAGGGTAAAGGACTTGCTCGGGACGAGGGGCCCCAGGAGGCAGAGCCAGGATTTGCCCTCCTTCCCTCCACTCTTTCCGGGACAGACCGGGTAGCCCAGGGCAAGGTGTGCACGGCGCCCCTCCCACCTGAGCGCTTTCTAGGCTGAAGTAACAAGGGGCTCAGAATAAAAAGGTTAAAGTTTAAACTTTTTTGTACTACAGGTTAGATTTGGATTTTTTTTTCATTCAGTTACTAAGTTCTGATAGTTTATTTGACCATTTCAGTTGCTGTTCAATCCCATATTCCTCTACTTTTTAAAGGATCGAAATGATTTCATAAATCTTTGACTCCTAAAGAACCGGATCCGTAGACATCTTTAAATTTACTTAGGAGCAAATACATCCAGTTCTTTGTGCTTTCTTATTTAAATATTATAATTAAAATATTTCTGTGTGGGTCAGGGTATAGCAACATGCTTTGTAAGCTGTTTTCTGTCCAACAGCATATCTGTAAATTTCTCACAGATTTCCTTTTCAAAAGACCTTGTTTAAAATATATTCATAGGTGTGTGTGTGACAGATCTAGGTAGGTAGGTGTGTATATATGTGTGTACAGTGAGAGAAACTTTTTTCTTAATCTTTTTTGCCAGTGAGGGAAAAAAATCGTAAAATAGTTGATCCAAGGTCTTGAAAATCTGAAAGAAAATCTAAGAAATGTATCAGGCATTTTACAAAGTATGTGAGCTCTTTGGGGTTGGGGGGTGTGGTGAGAGACCTCTACAGGGAAGTGGGCGGTGGTTTTAAACAGGGAGGGCTCTTGGTTCCGGGTGTCCTCAGGCTGTCCAGGCCTCTCTCCATTGATTCCCTCCCTCTTTCCTGGATCCTCACCCTGTCCCACTGGCTCCGCCATCATTCAACAGTTGAAGATTCTCCTTTTCCCCGCAAAAAACCAACAACTTCAGCCAAAACCCCTGCTCCTCGTCCCCTCCAGCTGCTTCCCCATCTCTTCCTATCGTGGCCAGACTCTTGAGCGAGTTTTCTTGCCCATTTTCTCCACTTCCTCCCCTCCTGTCCTCAGGGCTGGACTTGGCCTCGCCCGGGTCACCAGCAGCCTCCCCCAGGCAGACCTGGTGGGCACCGGTTAGCCCTCATCCCACCCGCCTCCTCGGCTTGGGGCTCCTTCCTCCCACCGACCTGCCCTCTGACTGGGAGGATACCCTCTTCTCCTCTTCCCTTGGCCTCCAGGCCATGCTCTGGTTCCCCTCCTTTCCCTTGGGATCTCCTCAGGCTCCTGTCCAGGTCCCCATCTGCCTTTACCCGCACCTCAGCAAATATTGGCTTCCTCAGGACTCAGCCTCAGACCTGCTTCATCTCTTACGCTCTCACAAGCTCACCTGTCCTGTGGCCTCAACTTCCATCTGGTTCCCACCCTCCCAAAGCTGTTTCCTCCGACCAGGCCTTCCCTCTGGGATCCAGACTCCAGTGTCTGAATCCTCCTTGGATGTTGTGGAGCTATCGCGATCTCATTGTCTAGTACGGAACTTACCTTCCTGCCCAACCTGCTTGTTTGCCAGCATCCCCCTTCCTTCCACAGGAAACAATAACATGTAGCTCCCTCTTACGAAGTGTTTACTGTGTGCACATGCTGTTCTATGCCAAGGCATTTCATCCTCGGGCCACCGTCATGGCAGGCCCTGTGTCTAGTTCCTCGTGCCAGCCTGGGAGGCCCCAGGGAAAGCAGGAGGCCAGGGGGTGGACCCAGGAGCCAGACTCCTGACCCCGTGCCCAGACCATCACGCAGCAAGCCTCCTAGGACCCGGGCATCCTCCAGGCCCTTCCCTTCCCTGGTCACCCCACCTTCCCCCCGCTCCTGTGACCTGTTGCTTCTGCTCCCCGTGTCTCTTTTAATTCCACCCCCTTCCCTCCACCCCGCTGTGTCCCCATATAGGGTCTGGGCTGCAGCAGCCAGCCCCCCATCATGCTGTGATGTGCCGGCCTCCACGTCTGGGTCAGATCCTGTCACTGTGTGCCCGGCCCGCCCTCCCTTCTTCTTCAGGCCCTCACCCTCACACAAGTCCTCGTTTGACATCTCTCCTCCCTGCTGCTCTGGGAGCTCCTGTCCCCCCTGTATGGCACCAGACAAGCCAGGAAGTTTTTTAGAGAGAACGTGCCATTTCCCAGCTCAGTCCATACCCCTCAGTCCAGCCAGCACCCTCCCAGGGAACCAAAACAGGAAGTGAGGGAGAGGCCGTGATGCAGTCCCCTGAGCCGCTGGCCACCACGGGGGTGGCATCCTCCACTACAGTGGGCATTGGGCAAAAGGCATTCTGTGCCGTTGCCAGTAAAGTGTGTGGCCCTGGGAGGACACCTCATTCTCAGTCTTGGCGCCTCATCTGTGCGCTGTGAGAATAACAGGACCAGCTCTACAGCTGTGACAATCGGATGAGGTCGTGTCCGCGGAGCACGTAGCACAGGGAGGGCTCGTCTGCACCAGCTGTCGTGTTTCTAAAACATAAGCGCTGGGCTTGATAAATCCTCAACACGCACACGCCCGGCGCTTCACAGCCTGGACAGGTCACTTCACCCGCTCCGCTCTGCCGCCCTGAGAAGTGGGAGCGGAGGTGAGCCTCCGTTCCTTGCGCCTGCTTCTCTCACACCCCAGAGCCTCACAGGCTGAGTTCGCACTCTCCAGTGGGTGCATTAGGATGTCGAGCGGCCGTGGTGCCGGGCTGGGCCCAGATCCCCCGAGAACTGCTGCCCCTCCCGCCTGCCTCCGTCCCTCTTACTCCCTTCACTGTCGCCCAGGCCTGCGGGGGGCCATCCCCTATGCCCTGAGCCTGCACCTGGACCTGGAGCCCATGGAGAAGCGGCAGCTCATCGGCACCACCACCATCAGCATCGTGCTCTTCACCATTCTGCTGCTGGGCGGCAGCACCATGCCCCTCATCCGCTTCGCGGACATCAAGGACGCCAGGGCGCGCCGCAGGAACAAGAAGGACGTCAACCTCAGCAAGACCGAGAAGATGGTGAGTGCCGGCCGGGCGGGCAGGGGCAGAGGGTGGGTCCCCACTCGCCGCCAGAAAATGGGGGAACGAGACACAATCTGAGGATGATCCGTCCCTGGGCACGCACGCATAGGCGCGCAGCACATGCACACACGCACGCACCAGCTTCCCAAAGTGACGGGGAGGTTGGACTCAGGGTCTGAAGCGTGACTCTTTGGGGTGGGTTGTCTGCCGGCCTCGTGAAGCCACGGAGGCAGTGGCGTGGGAACGTGAACCTTCCAGACTCTTTCAGGAATGCTCCTCCCCTGCCAGTAACCACACCGCCCCATCAGGCCGGGACTGGAAGGAGGGTTTCAAAATCACAAAATGACAAAATTGTATCATTACCTAGCATCTACTAAAAAGCCTCCTGTTGGGGCTAGATAAGGGGAAAGTGCTCACAGAGGCTTGGAGAGTTACAGGAGACGGCCCTCCACTGAGGACAGGCAAGGCATGATTTGGGGGTGGAGGTGCCCAAGGCCATCTGCAGCGAGCCTGAGGCTCCTGGACCCCTGCCCACCTCTGCCTCCTCCAAGCCACCCTCCTCCCCTGAGTCACAGTGATTGTGCCTTTCCTGCCCTGTGTTCCCTCGGGCCCTGGCCTCTGGTCCTGCCTTCCTGCACCACCCCCTGCTCCACGCACATGCTTTTGCAGAAATGCATCTTTTTCTAGTTCCCTTGTTCAAGGCCATCAGTAACTTTACTCAGCCCTGGAAGGCACAGAAATCCTCAACCAGAGGTGGGGAAAGGGGATGTGGCCCACCTCTCACTCTGGAAAGTCCAGTCTGGGTGGATCTTGGCCTCCAGTCTCTGCCCGCGGCCTCTCCAGCCAGAGTTGTGCTACTGGGAGAACCTTCAGATGACGTCAGACAGGGCTGGCTCACAGAACTTTCCTCACTCTCCACAGCCCTTCTCCCCCCACCCCCACCCACCAGCCTTCTTGTCTGTTTTTAACCAAAGCTCAAGTATAGGTTCTCGAAGCTGTTAGTGGGTGTCAGGATTGGTGGAGGGCTCCAGGGTCTTACAGGTCTGGGGTGGGCGCCCAAAGAATTTGCATTTCTGATGAGTTGCCGGGAGGTGCAGCCACACTTGGCCAAGCACAGCTCTGGTAGAACCAGGATGTGTGCTCAGCGGGGAGCAGCTGCTGTTTAGGGCATGTTTTCTGTGGTGCCTGCGCTGTCCTTGGACTGTCCCTGAAACCTGCAGGAAGCAGATGGTCTCATGATCCCCATTTTGCAGCTGAGAGCACTGAGGCACAGAGACCAAATCACACAGCCCTGGTCACACAGACTCTTAACCACCCCACTTTCCATCACTGGTCGTCAAGGTGGGGTTCCTGGTCCAGCAGCATCGGTGGGCGCTTGTTAGAAATGCACATTCTTGGGCCCCCTCCCAGACCTGCTAAATCAGGAACTGCAGGTGGGCCTAGTGGGCCCAGCATTTTGTGGCTCCCCAAGCTCCAGGTGATTCCGATGCCGGCCAGAGTTTGAGAAGCACTGCTCCACGGCAGGGAAATGCCCTCCCTGCCCCTCCCTCTCTCCCACCTCCTACACCCAGGGTACACCTGCGCTTGGGGGCGACAGTGCAAAACTGCCTATGGTCGCCCCTGCAGAGGGTGGGTGGTCCTTCCCTCCCTCCCTCTCTCCCTCTCCACATCCCTCCCTGCTGCATCCACATGACCAGCAAATGTACCCAGAGTGGGCCTCTGCAGGCAAAAAACGACAAAAGCTGCCTCCCTCGTTCAGTTCACTGGTAAAGAGACAGCCTAGAAGAGCTCCCAGTCCTGGCTGCACAGACAGCCACCTGGAGAGCTTACAGTAGACCAAGCCCCAGCCCTGAGCTTCCAACTTCTTCACAATTCTGATTTTCCTGGATGTCCATCGTTTTCTTACACACCTTCCAGCCTCACTACAGGCTCCCAGGAGGCCTCTTTGCTGCCACCGTTAGGGTTGGGGACACTGGGGCCGGGGTGAAGAGCTGCGAGGAGGTAGGCTGGGTGGTGTGAGGGCTTCCAGGCAGGTGTCAGCTGACGAGCCTTCGGCTGCCTTCTCCCCACCCCCCTACCCCGCCGCAGGGCAACACCGTCGAGTCGGAGCACCTGTCGGAGCTCACCGAGGAGGAGTACGAAGCCCACTACGTCAGGCGGCAGGACCTCAAAGGCTTCCTGTGGCTGGACGCCAAGTACCTGAACCCCTTCTTCACGCGGCGGCTGACCCAGGAGGTGGGACGCAGGCCAGGGGTCCCTCGCCTTCCTCCCTCAGGGCCTGCAGTGGCCAAGAGCAGGGTGGGCAGGGAAGACCCACGTGCCGGGTTGGGTGGGGGCCTCTCCCCACTCAGCGTTCTCTCCTTCCCAGCCTCACGGGCTGGATTTGCTTGCAGCACTCTGCATCTGCTGTTCTTCCTTCGCTGCCATATTTAATGCTGGTTTGTTTATTTATTTATTTAATTCATTTATTTTTGGCTGCACTGGGTCTTTGTTGCTGCGCGTGGGCTTTCTCTAGTTGCAGCGAGCGGGGGCTACTCTGCGTTGCGGTGCGCGGGCTTCTTATTGTCGTGGTTTCTCTTGTTGCAGAGCATGGGCTCTAGGTGCGTGGGCTTCAGTAGTTGTGACACGTGGGCTCAGTAGTTGTGGCTCGCGGGCTCTAGAGCGCAGGCTCGGTAGTTGTGGTGCACGGGCTTAGTTCCTCCATGGCATGTGGGATCTTCCCGGACCAGGGCTCGAACCGTGTCCCCTGCATTGACAGGCAGATTCTTAACCACTGTGACACCAGGGAAGTCTCTAGTGCTAGTTTAATAATAGACTTGTTAACCCAGTTTGGATTTCCTGGATAATAGACTTGGGACATTGATCGGCTACTGAATCTGAGCTGAGGAATTTCAGACCTGCCAGGGCCTCGGACAGTGGCCCGAGGCTCAGGGCTCTCGCTCCATCCCTCCAGGCACCACTGGCCTGACAGTGAGTGACACACTCAGGGACCAGCTTGGGCCTGCTTTGCTGAAACCGTCATCCTGCACCGTGCAGGGTGGGGGAGGGGTTCTCCTGGCTGCTGCCCCGCTTTGGTCCTGAGCCCCGTTTTCCCTCCCTCAGCAGTCAGGATCGCTGTCAGCACGTGAGTTCTTACTGTGAGCCAGGCGCTACGCCAGATGTTTTTCATGATTGCTTCGTTTCATTCTCCCAGCAACCCATGCAGTAGATGCAGCGGGTTGTCTCAGTTGTTAGCCGGGGAGACTGAGGCCCAGAGAGATGAAGTAACCCCCCGAGGTCACACAGCCAGTACATGGCAAAGCTGGAAGCAGAGCCCAAGTGTGTCTGATTCCAGAGGCCAGGTTTTTTAACATCATGCCATCCTGCCTCCTACTCCTGTTTCAGGGTGACACCTCCCGTTATCTCCTCCCCAACAGAGAATGATCCCAGCTTGCGGTTAGTCAGTTAACACTTTGAAATTGCTTGTGGCCGCGCCCCCTGCCTCCCGTCTCCTCCCTTCCTCAGCCCTGACCCTGAGCCAGACCACTGACGAGGGCTTGCTATGTCTCCCGCCCCAGGACCTCCACCACGGGCGCATCCAGATGAAAACCCTCACCAACAAGTGGTACGAAGAGGTGCGCCAAGGCCCCTCCGGCTCCGAGGACGACGAGCAGGAGCTGCTGTGACCGAGCGGGATGCGTGGCTTCCGGGCAGCCGGGGCCGCAGCACTGCCATCCAGCCTCCCCGCGGCTCCCAGGACGGCCACCCAGCAAGGGCCCCCGAGGCGTGTGCATTTGGCACTTCTTTGGGGCGGATGGAAGCAGGGTGACACACAGGCTACTGTCGTCTTAACCCAGGACCTCCCAGGCCTTTGGAGCCAGCCGGCTGCCCTGAAGCACCCTTTCCCCGCTCCTCACTGGGCTGGACCTCTCCCCTCAGGGTGGCTTCCCAGCCCGCGGATTGGAGGGACCACCTTTGCAGGTACATGTTTCCTTCTGCTTCTGTAGCCGGGGAATAGTCATCTGTCACGCCAAGGTGCCTGAGAGGAGAAATCCTGCCATGGACCCACTGTGCAGGGCGTCCCGGGAGCGTGGTGCGCCGTTGCCGCCATCCCTGGCCACTGCCTTCATTACAGGGGCCCTTCCCTGCCGGACGGGTGTCGGTAACAGCAGGACGAGAGGCCAGCCGCCGCTTGCCTGTGCGTCATCAAGGCGCCTCCGCCCTCAGCAGCGGCGATTCTCACTTAAGCAGCAGGCTCAGAGGCCTTGGAAACCTCACACTCCCCTTCGTGATGTCGCTTGCACTCCCTGAGAAAGAGAAACTGAGTGACCTTTTTCTCTACCTCTGATTGGCACCTCACAGGCTGTCTCCCTGGGCAGCACGCAGCTACTGCCCTTCTCTGGGAATACTGTGAATGTTTACACTGGAACCGAGCACGAGGGCACAGGCACCTCTCTAGAGCCCCATTGGAAGCCGTATCCCTGGGTTTTTTGGGGGTGAGTGACCCTATTCTGTGGGGTCAGAGCACCCTCTAGAGGGAAAGTCTTCAGGGTTTATGCTGGCCAGCAGCTGCTGTCTTTGAATTCAGTTTAAATTCATGCACTTTTACAAAGTGGTGAGAGCCTAGCAGTCCCTTCCCTGACCTCGATTCCTTACTCAGTGGTCCTTGTTTGTTCAGAGGCCCCTTTTCCTGGGCTCTGCCCACCGTTTACCTGCTGCACCTTCACTGCTCATCGGCATCTTTTCTTTTCCCTCCCAGTTCTCTACCATCTTGGGTCCCATTTGTCCCTGTGCTCCTCCTCTGCCACCGCTCCCCAGGACTCCAGTGGCCTGCAGCCAGATGCATCTGAGTCTTACCTGCAATCGCTGAGCAGCCACTGCTCCCTCAGGACTCGCTCACAGAGCGCTTGCCCGTGCGCGCGCACACACCACACACACACCCCTGCCCCGGCCACGCGCGCACACACACACACACCACACACACACACACACACACCCCTGCCCCGGCCACGTGCGCGCACACACACACACTACACACACACACACACGCACCTGCCCCGGCCATGCACGCACACGCACACACACACACACACACCCCTGCCCCAGCCACACACGCACACACACACACACCCCTGCCCCAGCCACGTGCACACACGCACACACACCACACACACACCACTGCCCCGGCCATGCGCGCGCGCGCGCACACACACACACACACACACACACACACACACACACCCCTGCCCCGGCCCCATGGTCCGGGCCCCTGGGCCACCTCAAGGTGAGGAGCTGCCAATCATGTCCAGAGGACATGGAGCTTCTGACTTCCCCGCATCCACCCCCTTCTCCGGCCCTTTAACAAGTCTTTACCTGCTTGCTTGTGCCCATCTACAGGCCTCTGGCAGTTTCCATATGTGGCTCAGGGTCTCGGCTGGGGCGTTGGGACTCAGCACCCCCTGGCGTGGTTTAATTCATCATGTGCATGTCGTTGGTTCTGTTTCGGACACAGTGGGCCGGCAGGGACCTTGGGCTGGCAGCAAATATGTTTCCATCTTCTCAGCCTCAGGCAGCGTGGCTCTGGATGTGAGGAAGGACTGACCTCGGGACCCTCCAGGACCCATGTACCCAGCCCACGAGGCCAGACCCCTGCCCTAACCCCTTCCCTTGCCCCAGAAGTGTACGCATAAAGCCAGTCAGGCAGGAGGGCACATGGCTTCCTTTTTATGCATGAAAAGTCAGTTGGTACTTGATAGAGCTAAAATATGATTTCTTTTTGTAATCTCCCACCGTAACCCCATAATTTGAGCCAAATAGGATTACTTTACTTCACCTAATATCCCCACTGGAAGATTAATGCCATGCATAATTCCAGTCTCCGTCATTTCCTATTTCTTTTTAGTGGAAGAGAGAAGAGGTCAAAGGGAGAGGACCTTTGTCCATAAGGGAGGGGGCAGGGATCAGAGGCCAGATTGTTCTCTCATTCTCCAATTCATAAGTAACTGACTTTCCCCCTGAAATTCAGAGTCTGATCTCCGAGGTGTAAGTTGCATTGTAAACTCAATAGCTTGCTGGAAAAAAATTTTGGGGGGCTCTGAGTTCATAGATTAAATAATGAAAACAGGATCTTCTCAGTTCAGACTGCCCTTTGTCACCAGGTCCCACCTGTCCTCCCACTTTTAGCTGAGACCTGAGAGTGACAGTAAGTAGAGAAGCACACGGGGTCGGGGCGAGGTCCCCAAGGCTTGGCTGTGTGGAGGTGGCTGGGGGAGAGTCTTGCCTGGCCTGGAGCAGCGCCAGCCTGGGCATCCCGTGAGCTGCTCCTGCCCTCTTCTGGCCAAGTAGTGGCTTAGCAGCGTGGGAGGGCATTCCCCTGCCGAGGAGGGCGCCCCGTGTGCCTCAGCCATCTGTCTGTTCACCTTTGAACAGGCCAAAGCCCATTGAGAGAGATTTTTCTGGTGGACTTTTATCAGATGTCTTTGCCTGAGAATCAAAAATTGCTGCTGTCTACCTTTAGCATTCCTAATAATTCTATTGTTGGGGGAATAAATGCCTAGAAGATTAAAAATATCCAGCATAACTATAACTTCACACATGTTTTCTTTTAGGTCTAGGCCATGGGACAGGAGAAGTATAGCACAAAGAGAAGGTAATACTTTAGGAGGAGGTGAAGGCTGTAGGGTCAGTGTGTGCCTTTGGGGGAACTGGTTGGCTAGTCAGTGAACTCTGAAGACACGCCGTCTTGGGGAGCTGGGGCGTCCTGTAGCACTAAGGCCCCACCCCAAGGCTCCCCCAAGCAGCCCCTCCGCAGCAGGCCCTACGATTTTGGACTTGGAATTCACCACGTGTTCTGCAGCCCTGTGGTTGTAGGACCTCTGGGACTAACCATGCTCAGAGGCTTGGAGTGTGAGGCCTCACAGGAAAAGAAGCTGGCTTTTCCTAGGTCCCCAGAGACCAAGTTCGGGCTGAGCTGGAACAGAGCCAGGCAGAAGGTGGCTCAGTTCCATCATCTGGTGCTCATTCAGCCCAGGGGCAGACCCTGTCCCCCTGGCCAGCTGCCTCTTTTCACACACTGGGAATGCTTGCTGGGCCCCGGCTGACATGAGGCCAGGGGCCCAGAATGTTGGCAGCCCCTGAGTGCCCCAAGTCAGCCTAGGGAGGCCCTGATTTGCCTGCAGATTCCTCTGTGTGCAGTGGAGTGTGGAAAGGCTGGTGAGTGGGGAGCCTTCTCCTTCAAGCCCTCACCTAAGGTGGCCTTCCGGGGTCTCAGGCCCACACTCCCATGGGGGTCCACACACGTGGCAAAGTCCCAAGCGGGGAGGCCACAGCCAGAATCCCTCTTCTGCTTCAGTGGGGAGAGTGAGGGTGGGGCCTGGTGGTGAGCGGCTTCTCCTCAGCCAAGTCCGGGCCATCGAAGGTACAGCAAGGTGTAGGCGTGGCTTAGGGTGGCCTTAGAACTGACCCTTGATTCTAGTGGGAGGAGGAATCTCTCAACAGCAATGACTGACTGTCAGTTAGGACTTCAAATGCCAAAAAAAGAGGAAAGATCCTTTGCTCCTTCCTCATTCCCTCCAGAATGCAGGCATGTGATTCTCCTGCTGGGTGGTGGGTAGGAAATTATCTGAAACGTTCCCGGTAGAGCAGCCAGAATCATTAAGAAGTTGTTCTACGAGGAACCCGGTCTCCAAAGCCCCAGGCAATATGTTTTAAATGAAAACACCACAGTCAGAGTGACGGCTTTGGATAATCAGCCACACTCCCTTCCACTTAGTCCCCTGTCATTTCTCACACAAATGGAGTTAGATGTTCAGGGACTTCCACCATCATTGCCCATGTTACGAAAGAAGACTTTCTAATTTCCCCCACCCCGTTTCACCCTTTCTCACCCCAGCCGACACAGTCCCTAATCCCAGAGGGAAAAACAATGTGTGGCTTTTCCTACCCGGGAGCTGGTCTTTTCCCAGCTGCTCTGCATGAGCGTCCTGGCTTCAGGGCGAGAGAGCTGAGTGCAGCCGCGGGCCCCGTGGCCATGGGATCCATGGGGATTGTGCAGTTCGGTGGTCAAGAGAAAGGTCACCTGTCAGCGCTATGGGCCCCTGTCCAAGGAGCTGGTCAGCCACGTGGAAGAGCCACTTCTCCAGGCCCCAGCGCTGCTCTGAGGAGCCACGGAGGCCCATGGGCTGGGGAAGGCTCCTCGCTCGCTCGGCTGACTCGGGGTTCGTGGCTACCAAAGGTGTTAGCATTTTCTCCAGTACAGCTCCTGCAAAGCTTGATTTGTTCTCAAGATTAATCAGAATCTTGTATTCTTTTGAGTAATTTTCTTTTTAAAAATGAAGGATTTTTTTAAGTACAGCTTTTTGATATAAGGACTATTGGGAAGGTCAGGCTTGTTCTTTTGTCCTCCCCCAAGTAAGATGTGAGAGGCAGCGTTAGCCCTGGTTCCCGAGAAATATGCTGCTCTTCTTGGTGGGGCTGCGGGTTGCGGAGGCGAAGGTGGGTCGGAGGTGGAGGGACCTGCAGCTGCTCTGCTGGAGCCTCTACCTCGTCTCACTGGACTCTTTAAAGAATTCAGAAATGGATGAAAAACAGTAATGTCACTGGATTCTTATTTAGAAATAAAAATGAATGCTGCTGAATCAGACCCACTTTCTGTGTTGGTGTTCCGTGGCTTTGCAGAGGCCTGGGTCACGCCCCCCTAGACTTGGCTCTGTCCACACCTGCCTGGCTCTCACGGCCAGAAGCCTGGCAGAACGCAATGGTTAGTGGGCAGGAGTGCGGGCTTTGGGCCCCAGTTCCTGCCTCTGTCCCTGTTGGGCTGGACCCCGCGGGCCCACAAGCTTTGTAGTTGCCCAGCCTTGAGACCAGAGGAAGAGCCTAGAGACAGCAACAGAGACATGAACGGTTTGTTGGATAGAGGGATCTTAACAAACGGTCCTGGAGCGAAACCCCACGGCGTGCAGCAGCCGTCGGACAGGACACCAGGGCATGGCAGCAGTCCTCACCACATCGGGGAGATTGATGTCAGGTGGGCTCGGTTACCAGGAACTAATTGAGCCCTATGATTAAGAGGATTGGATAGTCACGTGAGGGAAGCAGGGGCTGATCGAGCAGGGGATATGCAGAGAGCAGGAGACAGCCATCTTGAATGGCCTGAGCAGACAGTCCCTCAGTGAGGAGGACGTGAGGCCAAGCAGGAGGGCTCAGCTCGGGCCCAGCCTCCAGCCTCCAGCCACAGCTGCTTCCTCACAGGTGCGAGGGACTTGTCTTCCCTGGGGTTCTCTGGGCTAGCCGCCCTCCTCCCTGCTGGGGTTGCAGACTGGCTAGCCACCCTCCTCCCTGCTGGGGTTGCAGACTGGCCGCTGGTAGGCCTTTGACTGAAACCAGGCTCTGAACCCACACGGCCGTGCGAGTCAGGTGGAAGCTGGTGGCGGTATCTGTGGGGAGTCTGGAGGCTCCGTTTGTTTATACTCTCTCATGCTTCCAGAAGGCATCTGAAGCTACTTACGGTAACAGGTGCAAACAAAAAATACATGTGATATAAATGAAACCAGGCAGAAGAACCTGTCCTGACCCCAGGCACGAGCCTCCTGACAGGGAGGCCAGAACCAGGGCTCTTAGTTCCTCTCCACCCTGCAATGCATCCCCACCCCCAGGCCAAAGGAGGAAGGGTGGGGGGAGAATAAATCACATCCTGGACCCTTCCTCTACCTGGATTGCTAACTGCACGCCCAAACCAATGCCTGCTGGCGTCAGGCAGGGAACCTGGTCAGGGAGCAGCGCTGGTAGGAGGCGCACGTGGCCGTCAGCTCCCTTCCCCCTGTGACGGAGACCTGGGTTCAGAGAAGGATTCCTCCACCCTAATGAAACCGTGCAGGTGGGATGACAGGTGGCACTGGAGTGATGGGCCTCTGGCAAATATAAAGCAGAATCTTCCCAGGCCACCGATGGGCTGCAGAGGAGGCGAGGAAATGAGCAGAGTGTCAGCCTGGACAAAATAGAACCCTGGTAGTAAA